TTAGTATTATATTATGTCGCTATAGTATAGTTAGAATTGTTCTGTTAGTTTAGTAGTAATTGTTAAGACTATTGCTATATAAAGTAAGTTATAGTTAACTTAGGTTAGGATTTAAGTATACTATACTAATGCTATACCCTGTAGACATTATGTCTATACTTCTTATATCTAGTCTTCTAATCTAGTTACTACTAGGTTATTTAGTTAGTTAGTAAAGGCATAGATGTTGGTATATATTGTTAGTTTCTTGTCTAAGACCATGCCTAATTATATAAGGTCTTTTGCTTTTAGGTTAAAGATACTTATATTTACTAGGCGTAGTTATATAAAAGAGGCTACTTTAGCTCTTGTTGTTATAAAGGGTAGGTATTATTAATGATTTTATTAAAAGGTATTAACTATTAAATCTATAAAGTTAGTTTATAGCGTTTAGTGTTATATATATAATATATTAAGGAAATTACTTTATATATTTTATTAGTATTTATCTATTACTAAAGCTAATAATTCCACTACTTAAGTAATAATTAGATAGCTTATATTCTACTAAGGATTTTCTGTGTTATTTACTATTACTGTTATTTATAGCTACTTAATGCTTACTTGGTTATAGTAGTTGTCTTATAGTTGTTTAACTAATAGAGGAGTATAAAAGAAAAGTAGTAATTAATTAAAAGAAGTAGTAACTTGTTTACTATTATCTTCTTTTTGTTATTAGGAAGTGTTTAAAGTTAAAGGTTATAAAAAGTTAATAAGGCTAAATTATTTATTTATAAGTCTAGTTTAAGGGTTTAAAGTTACTTATAGGCTAGCTAAGTTATTAACTAGTTTAGATATTTTAGGAGCTTTTTAGTATTTTACTACTTATTATCTTTAGTGTTATAAAAAAGCTTTAAATATAGCTTTAGCTATTAATTATTTAACTAAGTAGTTAGTATTAAAGTAAGTAAGTTAATCTAGATTATTTAGAATTATTGCTAGTAACTGCTTAGCTATATTAATGTTATTATTAGTCATGTTAAGTAGGTAAATTACTTTGGTATATTGTAGGAGCTTAGTAGAGTGTTGTCTAAGGTTATCTAGCAACATGCTCTGCTTAACTAATTAGTTAAAAGTCTAGATATCTGAGATTATAAGGGTCTTTTAGGGTCAATTTTGATAAAAAAGGGTTTAATTTAATAAAAAGAGGTTAGAGGGAGGGGTATAGTTATAGATAGAGGTTATTAGGGTGAGGTTAGGAGGTTAAAGAGGTCGTTTTATTAGTCTAGGTAAGGGATAAGCAAAACGCTATATCTATACTTAAGACTAATTATTGTTGGTTGGTAATAGTTACTATAATCTTTTCTGGTCCTTTTTAATTAAATGGTTGAAAAGAATTGGTGGTAGTCCCTGAATCAAAATTCGGTTGTGCTACTATACTGTTAGGGTGTCCCTGGTGTGTATGAAGTAAGTTGTATTGCTCTATCTAACCCTGGGGGTCTGTCTAAATAGTAAGCCCGTGTCCGGCTTATGTAACAATTCCCGCCCTTACGCTGTCAGCTGACCGCATCGCGTGGAGGACACACCCGCCGCTATGCACCATGCGAGGGTAGGCCTCACCTCTTTGGCCAGCTATCCTCAGGGTCTTTGGAGATGCACGATGCACCATCTCAGCCCTACACCCCCCGATACCTGTTGTTAGTGGACGGTTCGAGGCGCCCTGGCTCGAAGCCATGCTGTGTGGCTGAGTGGCCGAGGAAGTCAGCGAACGATCTCACGGAAAATGTTCCACGGCCATAGGTGAACCTGGAATTCAGCACTCCGTCGTTACTGAGACGAATCCGCTTCCATAGGAGACAGAACAGCTGTAATTCGGCCGACCTGAAGTTGCACAACTTCATTGGCAACAAATCATCAACCACTAATCGCTTCGTCCAACCTGCTATTTTCCAGCACATCGCGCCCTAACCAAACCTCGGGACCGGAATGTTCAATAATCTACTGATGAATAATCTGTTTCCCTAGTCTCCAAAACCACAGAAGTCTCAAAGGGAATACGTCGCTGTTGCGATCTAGGTGTGTCGAACCAGTGTAGCGGATGACTTTCATACTACAAGCAAAGTCAAGTTTCTACCTTTGAGTAAAGATGGCCTTCCTCAGCACGCAGGGCCACCTCCCTCCAACCTACACAACAACGTCCCATAATGTCACTGCAGATGAGCAAAGCTCCGCGTTCGATTTTGTCAATTGTGTGAACCATCTCTTCGAAGAATTCGAAAAGATATGATCGTGTCTGCGTTCCTACCGGATAGCAAATGCACCATCCTCATGGCATATTTAACGGAGTCTCGGAGATGGCTGCTATGCTTAAGAGGGACTATGCAGCTCCTATCCCATGCGTGAGCCGACATGCGACAAGCCACATAGTGGACCGGAACGAAGACACCGGAGGCGGCATTGTTCGTTATCAAATATCCTGGTGGGCTACTCTTGGCTAAGCAAAGCGGACAAGATTACCTCGACTGGAACATACAAAGCCGACGAGGGGCTTCCTGCAATTTGGGTCTGGTCATCGCAGGTTGATCGACTGAAGATGACGGGGCAAGGTTGGAAAATTTACGAGAGATTCGTATGAGGGACAGTCGTTAACTCAAAGTCGAACCCAGACGCTGAGCCAAGCCCCTAGGTTCAAGGACGCAAGGGCGTAATCATGCGCAATCCAGGAACCGACTGTTGAAAGTACTGAGGGGAGCAGCGACTATGGTGGAATAATGGTGCAAAAGGGAAAGACCACAACCCTCCGAAAACAAACAAGTCTTACCTGATGTAGGAGCGCATATCTAGCAGGCACTTAAATCAGTGCTCCAGAAGAGCTATCGTGTATGTAATAGCACAAGAAGGCAGAGGATCAAGAGACACTGGCAACGCTGGTTTGTGTCCCGTTTGTTAGCTACAGAGTAGTTTCTCACTAATTACCCCAGAACTCCGCGCTCCAGTGTCCTATGGCTGCTGCAAAAAACCTGTGTCTCAAACCCCGCAATCCAAGGGAACGGCACCATGCCCTTCTCGCGGGAAGGTCTTGGAGCCGGCATCTGCTCATCTCTGGGAAGAATTACTCAAGATGACGAAGAGTTTTTTCTATTTATTTTCTTAACAGAGGCAACCTGCCTGATTGGTATTGAACGGCAGGCAACGAGACCTCCCAGCCGCCGTACTAGGCATCCTATCTTGCCTCAGCCGTATGCATGGAGTGCAGATGCTGCTGCACTGCCTCAGCGGTACGGAGAGCCACCCGATGAGATGAACCCAATGGCATCTAAGAGATCCCACATTGCGCGTGGCTACCCCCACGGAGAATAAAGAGGAAAGATGATATGGTGTGCCACATGCTTACACTTCTCATCAACTGGGCTGGACAGGGTACTGACCTCCATCGCGACGCCGCTGACATTGTGTCACTACGGATATAGCCGTCTTCAACTTCATGTGCTGTCCAGGGCTGTTGATGCAGAGTCTTTGTACTGCACCGCACCAACGAGACGTAGTGCTACAGTGCGTCCGGGCGTTGATAAGAACCCACCGGGCTGTTTCCGGTCCCCAGCACACTACAAGTCAGCCTACCGTTGCAGCGACGACCGCAAGCTGTGCCGCGGACCACACCGTTTCGACAATGGTCCGAGGTTAGCAAGTCGAATTGAACTAAGCCCAACGGTTCCCGGCTGTGCTAGGTACACGATTCCCGCTAGCCAGGGATTGATGTGGAAAAGGAGAAGGGGGAAAAAACGCCATGAAGGGGACTGTTAATGATGTACGCCTGGGACAAGGTCTGGAAGGCAGCTTTCGCTGTAACATACACAATACGGCACCGACTTCCGAGAAATGAAGACACGAGATACCGGGTCTACGGCATTGGCATTGGCTACGACCAGCCTACGGCATCGACATCATCACATGATGCCCCCCAGCCTCAGCAAAGATCGACTCACATGGCGCGAATATGTCCTCATCTCCCCCACCGGCTGCAAAACATACACCGAAAGCCCGGGCTGAGACAGAGTCATCGCTGCAACAGGGATAGCACCCGAGTGAAGGGCGAGCGGGTGTACGAATCACGTCTCCAACGATAGGCCCTCGACGCATCTCGCTGACCTCATTAGGAACTTGCACTGTTCGGTCATTCTTCCCAAAACCGCCCAATGTCTGGCACAGTGCCTGCTGGCTTTGCCTTTCTCTCCTTGGCGGAGAGAGGGAGGAAGCTCTGCAGCCCTGCGTGTCTCTGGCTTCTTTGGCTCTGTTTCTGTTGGTTTTTCTTCTGCATCCCCGGTTATCCAGACAGCAGGCAGGCACGCAGGGTACATTCAGCTGCGCCCTGGCGGCCCCCACGATGTAGATAATCGGCCGGCCATATCGTCCATTATTGGTTCGGCGACGCACGACGGCAAGGGGGGCGGTTGGTCCCTCGCTTCGCATCCCCTCCAATAGTATTCTACGTTTTGTCAACACTTACATTGCTTGTCCCTCGTCGAACTCTCCATCTGGTCAAGCCGGCCCAGTGATTGGCACACCTCTGGAACGAAGCCCTACAGAACGACAAGGCTAAGAGCGGGAAGCCTAGAAGTGCCCCCTGACAGGACCGAAGACATGTGGTTCATCGACCAGCGCTATTGCCTACCACCCATGCCGCTGTTGTGGAGCTTCAAGAGCTGACCTCAGCGCCAGCAGGCGCACTATTCCACAGATAGCATCGAGCCTAGCCGTCAACACCAACTGGCACAGTGTCTGCACGCTCGTCTGCGTCGCCTGCGCCTCGTCATCATGGAGGGTGTACCGATATTCCCATGCTTTTCTTTGCCTCGGACAATGTTGTCCGCAGCTAGGCCTGTTATGCCCAGACTGAATTCGCATATATGAAGGAAGCAGACTGCCCGCTCATTATCTACGAGTCTCTGCTCTGCTCTCTTTCTTGCTACAATCCCGCCATTCCCTCCCACAGCTTGAAGTCAACTGGAACACTCGCCAGAATGTCTCAAGCCCAGGAGCAATTCCCCAAGCACCAGCCGGCCTTGACCGAGAAGTTGGCGGCAGTCCGCGATGTTCTTCACAAATCCATTTCCCCAATTCCCTCTCACCCCGAACCAACCCCTGGTGGCGCTACCGCCCAGGAGGCCGAGCCGACCAACCTTCTCCAAGATATCAAGAAGCTCGGCTTCGAGGATTTTGACACACTAGCCCACTTCCTCGGCTCCGCCGTCAAGGGGGAGATCAACGACAATGACATGCTCTTGGAGCACCTCATTGAGCTCTTCGCCAAGCTGCCCTCCGGCACGGTCAAGGGCAAGAAGCTGGAGTATGGCTTGATCAACCAACTGTGGAATGGCATCGACCACCCGCCGATGACGACGCTCGCCGAGGAGTTCAAGTATCGTGCTGCCGATGGCTCCAACAACAACATTCACAGCCGGCAGATGGGTGCCGCAGGCACAGCATACGCCCGGTCAACGCCGCCCGTCGCCTATCAGACTCCCAACCAGCCGGAGCCCAGCCTCGTGTTCGACATGCTCTTCGCCAGGGGTGACGAGTTCAAGCCCCACCCCAACAAGATCTCAAGTGTTTTGTTCTACTTGGCAACCATCATTACCCACGACATCTTCCAGACTGTAAGGAGCTCCCCTATCGTCCGGCATCGTTTCATCTGAGCAGCTACTTACCAAATATAACTAGGACGGACGGGACAGCAACATCAACCTGACCTCATCGTATCTGGATCTTGCCCCCCTCTACGGCCGCAACCAGGAGGAGCAAGATGCTATCAGAACGAAACTGGACGGTAGGCTGAAGCCCGACTCCTTTTCCTCCAAGAGAGTCCTCGGCTTTCCTCCAGGTGTTGGTGTGATCTTGATCATGTTCAACCGCTTCCACAACTATATTGTGACACAGCTAGCTAGGTAAGTCACCCCGCGAGTCGCACTTGTTTAGGTAGCGAGAACCAAGTTAACCGTGCACAGCATCAATGAGAACAACCGCTTCGACAGACCGACAGGCCCTGTTCCGGACCCATCCGATGACTTTCCTGAAGAGCCGGTGAAGCCGGAGGAGAGCGTCGACAAGAACTCGGATGAATACAAGGCTTACTTGGCCGAGAAGCACACCTTTGACTCTCGCAATGCCTGGATCAAGTACGACAACAACCTCTTCCAAACGGCCCGTCTCATCACCTGCGGCCTCTATGTCAGCATTGTCCTCCGCGACTACGTCCGCACCATCTTGAACTTGAACCGCTCGCCCTCCAGCTGGGCATTAGACCCCCGTACCAACGAGGGCAAGAGCATCCTCAGGGGCGAGACTCCCGAGGGCACCGGTAACCAGGTGTCGGTAGAGTTCAACCTTATCTACCGATGGCACTGCACCATCTCCCCCAAGGACGACAAGTGGACGCAGGAGGTGTTCGCGAAGGAGCTTAAGAGTTCAAGCGACCCTGACAAGAAGGTTGAGGACTTCACTCTGAAGGAGTTCGGTCACGCTGTCGTGGCCTGGGAGCAGCGCATCCCCAACGACCCGGTCAAGCGTGACTTTGCCGGTCTCGGGCGCGGCAAGGACGGTTCATTCCGCGAAGAAGACCTGGCCAAAATCTTTAAGGAGTCTGTGGAGGATGTCGCTGGTTCCTACGGCGCCAACAGAATTCCGGAGATCATGAAGCCCATCGAGCTACTGGGCATCATCAACGCCCGAAAGTGGAACGTTGCTACGCTCAACGAGTTCCGCGAGCACTTTGGTCTTACTAGGCACCCGACATTTGAGGACATCAACCCGGACCCCGAGGTCGTCAAGAAGCTCAGGTACCTCTACGGCACTCCCGACCAGGTTGAGCTGTACCCGGGATTGGTCTCCGAGAAGGCCAAACCGCCGATGGTCCCAGGTAGTGGATTGTGTGGCAACTTTACCATGACCCGGGCTATCCTGTCGGACGCCGTTGCCTTGGTCCGTGGTGACCGTTTCTACACGGTTGATTATACCCCAAAGAACCTGACGAACTGGGGGTGAGTCTGAGGCCCCGGAATCCTTGTGACATGAGTTAGAGATTGACACAAAACTAGATTCAACCAAGCCAGCTACGACCACAACGTGGACCAGAGTCACGTCTTCTACAAGCTGGTCTACCGCGCTTTCCCCAACTCATTCGAGGCGAACAGCATCTACGCCCATTTTCCTATGACGGTGCCCTCGGAGAACAAGAAGATCCTCGAGAACATCGACAGAGCCTATCTGTATTCCTGGAAGGAGCCCAAGACCAAGACCAGCATGATCCCCATCTTCTCCCACAAGGCCGTCAGCGAGATCCTCTATAACCAGACGGACTTCAAGGTCGTCTGGGGCGAAGCCATCCGCCATCTGGTCGCCCAGCCCGGCAAGGAATACGGAAAGGATTTCTGTCTGGCTGGAGACGGCAAGGCCAACATGCTGAACCGCACCCAGGTTAGGAAGGCTCTGATCTCCGGTCCGTGGGAGAAGGAGGTGTGGAAGTGGTACACCCACATGACGCCCAAGCTGCTCGAGCAGAACAGCTTCACTATCCGCAAGGGTGTCAAGGAGGTCGACATCGTCCGCGACGTCATTAACTTAACCAACACGCGCTTCAACGCCGCTCTTTTCTGTTTGCCCATTAAGAACGAAGACTCGCCTTGGGGTGTCTACACCGACCAGGAGTTGTACATGGTCGTGGCCACCCTCTTTCAGTCCGTGTTCCTAGACGCAGATATTGCCAACAGCTTCAAGCTGCGTACAATTGCACGGGAGCTCGGACAGGGTCTCGGAAAGCTCATGACGCTCGTTGTGCAGGCCGTCGCAAAGGCCGGCTTCATCACGGACATTGTGGCCAAGATCAGGGAGGGTGAGGCTTCGCTTCCCACGTTCGGCAACCACCTCATTGAGCGGCTCATTGCCGACGGAAAGGACCTTGACGAGGTCATCTGGGGTACTATAATGCCCGTCGTCACCGCCAATGTCACGAACCAGTCGCAGGTCATGGCGCTGTGCATCGACTACTACCTCGGCGAGGGCAAGCAGTACCTGGACGAACTGTACCACTTGGCTCACCAGAACACGCCCGAAGCGGACGAGAAGTTGATGAAGTAGTAAGTCTTTTGTCCCCCCCACGGCTCAAACAACGCAGTTTACTAACAGGGGCTATAGCATGCTCGAGGGATGCAGACTCCGCGGCACCGTCGCCGTCTACCGTGAGGCCGTCACCACCCAGGTCGTCACTGATTATGCCCCCTGCCTGCTCGACCCCAACGACCCTACGTCACGCAAGCCCGTCGTTAACGACGACATTGAGGGCACCAAGTACGAGATCAAGATCCCCAAGGGCCAACGTGTGATTTGCAACCTCATGACCGCCGGTCGCGACCCGACCATTTTCGAAGCGCCCGGCGAGGTGCGCCTCGACCGGCCCCTTGAGTCGTATGTCCACTACGGCCTCGGACCGCATTGGTGCGCCGGCAAGGAAATCAGCCGCGTCGCGCAGACGAGTCTGTTCAAGCAGATTGTCGGCCTCAAGAACCTAAGAAGAGCCGAGGGCAGCCGTGGCAAGCTCAAGAACATGCCTGCCGGCGCGTGGAATGGCCAGGTCGGTTTGCCCATTGGCGGACAGAACGGTGCCAGCAAGAGAAACGAGCCTTGGCTCGGTCTGAGGGCGTTCATGACTGCCGACCAGAGTTCGTACTGGCCCGTGCCGACGACGATGAAGATTGAGTGGGACGACTAAAAATGGACGGTGTAATCAATTGGCGTGCAATCAAATGTTGATGTATGATTATGATGGAACGATGTATCCGAATAACAGTTTTGCGTGATTGAGTATTACTCATGGGTTCGTCTCGAGGTTGCTCTGTTCTCACACCTACTTTGATTATGGGCTTCAATCCAATATATGCGCACGGTACGACGCAACAAGATGTGAGTTTCAATACTTGATTAGTGCTGGATCGTACTATGAATCTCGAAACGACAAGGCCATCGGTTGTCAACGTGTATACGTGAGTGAATGAGTGAGAGCTTCACCAAAGGTGTGCATTCTTTGAGCCCGTCGTAGTATCCATACTTAGGGGGTAAACTGTTCAGCTACGGCATACCAAGCGGGGCTCAGCCCCGATCCTCCCCTTGGTGTAGTTGGTTCATCACGTTCGACTGTAATGGTTACATTGTCATCGAAAGGTCTCTAGTTCGATTCTGGAAGGGGAGAACTTCTTTTGGACTTATTTTTTTACTATTCATGTTTTTGGCCTGCCACCCGCCTTTGCGAGCCTAGCCGACAGCGTCGTTCTCTGCCCAAAATTTCGTATATTGACTTTTGCGAATTCGATTCGATGCCCATACCACCGCCTGTGTTGCACCTTGCATTTCTTTTCTTGTCTTGTCTTTCCCGCCGGAATCAGACGCGTACGTGTGCAATCACATCATAAGGGCTGCATCGACGCCTTGGTCGCTTCAGTATGGACGTGCCGGCCGCCGCCAATGCCCTGGGCACCCTCGGCGCAGTACGTGACCCAGCCGCTCGCACTGCTTGAAGCCAAACTTACGCATCGCAGGTCTGCTGGTCAATTCAGGTTCGTCAGCAGTTCGGTCAAAACCGATGGTCAGATCGCTAAATCGGTGTCGCCAGCTCATCCCTCAAATCATCATCAACTACCGCCGCCACAATGCGACCGGGCTTCAGCCCTCGATGATGATGCTTTGGGCCTGGGCCGGCGTGCCGCTCGGTGTTTACAACATTGTCGAAGACTTCAACATTGCGCTGCAGGTGCAGCCCCAGATCCTGACATTCCTAAGCCTCGTAACCTGGATTCAATGCTATTACTATCAGCGGGTGCGTAGAGTTTGCCTCAAAAAGCTTCTACCTATGCAAAGAATTTAGGGGGAAAAAATCCTCCGACTGACCCCCGCCAGGCCTGGTCTGTCCTCCGCTCCCTCGGCGTCGTGGCACCCATCGCAGCCGTCATGGCCGGCATACAGATCGCCCTCGTCATCGGCCTGCGCATCGTCAAGGCCCGCGGCGTCGAGTGGCCCATGATACTCATGGCCGTGCTCTCCGCCGCGCTGCTGGCCGCCGGCGTGCTGCGGCATTACTGGGACATTTATGTCCACCGCACCGTGCGCGGCATCTCCTTCATCTTTGTCGCCATTGATGCCGCCGGCGACGTCTTCTCCCTTGCGTCCATCTTCTTCCAGCCCAAGATGGACGTCTTGGGCATCGTCATTTACGCCACTGAGTTTGTGCTCTGGTGTGGTGTCTTTGCGTGCGGCGGGTATTATAATTTCTTGCCCTGGATGAGGAAGAAGTTGCTTGCTAGGGAGGATGATGCCGGTGGGACGAGATCTGTAGACGAGGACTTGCCAAGCCCGGACGCCGCCGGTGCACACAACGGTATCGCGTTACACGACTTGCCCTCCTCGACGTCCGTCTTCCGTACCGCGTCTCGAGATAACTCGGGGCTCCGGTCAAGGACCACTGTTTCTCGGCAGAGCCAATGGATTGTACCATGGTAAAGCACAAATCGCTTACCCACCAGTTCCAAAAATATGTTTTGCGTCACCCTTAAGTTGTATACCATGCCTGAGCTGTTTCCATTATCATCTTTCTCGGAGTATATTGCCAGCAGTAAAAGCAAGGCAAGTTGGGTCATGCGAATAGTGTAGTTTCTTAAACAGGTCTGGTGACTTGGGTAAAGATAATCAACGTGACGGGTGTTACAGCGAGACAAGTCGGCTTGCAGATACTGCCATGATTTCCGTGGTAAATGAAGCATCTTTCGTATTGTCTACTTGAGCCCGTATAATACAGCGTATCCGCATTCTTCTGACATGCTCAATAAAAAGGTGGGGAAAAGGGCCATCATAGATAAAATGAAGAGATTTGTTTCAAGGTCTCCCGTACCCATCCAACAGTGAAAGTCCTCGACTCTGTTCGAACCCCAAAACTCCGCAATCCCGAGTCCATGAAACGCTTACAACAACAGGGCAGCAAACGCCGCGGCGGCAACGGAGCCGAGGCTGGCGTAGACGGCGTTGGAACCGGCAGTAGGGGGCTGGAGGGCTTGTTACCGCCACCAGTCCTCGTACCGTTGCCGGCACTGTTGGCGTTGGTGCAGTTGCCTTCGGCAAAGCTGGCCTGGGTCGAGGACAAGGTCGAGGAGAAGCCGCCGGCAAGCTGGCTGGCGACAGACTGGACGCTCTGGGGCACCTTGGAAACGATGGCATCAATGAGCTTCTTCGCATTGTCGCCGACGGTGCCGACTTGTGAGGAGATGACGCCGCACAGGTTGGCCTTCTCGAACTCGGGCTTCTTCTTCTCGAGGTTCTTGGTGAGGGCGTTGCCGTCGCTCTGGAGACCCGAGACGAACTGCTGAAGCTGCAGTGCCTCGTTGAGCGTGATCTCGCTCGTGCCCATGACCTGCTGTGTGCCCTGACTCAAGACATTGCCGAAGCCTCCCGCGGCGGTGGCTAGGGGGGAGAGATCGCCGTTGAAACCGTCGACGGCCTTGTTGAGATCCTTGAGGGAGTTGCCGACATTTGTGATGACGTTCTGGATGGTGGCCAGGTCACGCTCGGCGACGACCTTGGTGGCGGGCTCGGCGAAGACGCCCATGGCCAGGGTGAGGATTGTGAACTCGGCGGTGAACTTCATCTTGTCGACGGTCTTAGAATAACACTGTGTGTGTACGCGTGATTTGGTGGTTATGCGTTTTATCAAGTAAATGAGCGGGTATAGTCGTACGTTAGGTATCTTTCCGTGTTTGGCCAGCAAGCATGAGAGAAGGGGGGACTAAGGAGAAAAGGAGGAGGACCTTTGAGGCTTATAGACCGACACAGACAAGTTCAGACACCTACGGTACTGCACCGCCTTGAAACCATCCTCGTGGGGGGGGGGGGGGGGGGGGGGGGGGGGGGGGGGGTTGGGCCATCCGCCAAATAAGCAGACACTCGATGTCGGGAGGGGCAAACAACCTTTGCACAGACACCAGGATCTCAGCTCATCGCCTTTCCGAAAAGCGTAACTCGTCTCACATATTGCCCACGGTTCACCCTCGTAGCCCATACAGTCCCCTCTTGCCTCCCTCGTACAATTCGGAAAGTGAGGGATGGAGGAGGGGCGGGGGGGCAAGAGGACCGAGAAGGAAGACTCGACTCGACTCGACTCGACTCGACTCGATCCCCTCCCCTTGTTCCCCTCCGGATCAGGCCTCCCGTCCGCAGTCGCATTGACTGCTGTCTTCGTACTTGACGTCAATGCATGGACCAGGGAGAGTTCCTTGCCCGCCAGACCATAAGATCTGAGGCGGGATGGGATGTGAGATGAGTTCTCTTGAGCCACTCGCATCGCGTGAATCGGTGTGACCCGCGTCCCACTGCCGGTGGATGATGAACCTTTAAAGTCGATCGTCAACATAGGAATGGTACCCCCTGCTTGATGTCGCGCGCTTATCCAGCACAAGCTCGGCGGAAAGCCCACAGATTGTCCTGGTATGCGGGTTCGGGCAATAACGTCAACATGGTTGAGCGTGCCTCAAGCCTCGCTTTTCGCTGTCTTTGGAGGCTGTGCACTAACTTAGTGGTAGGTGTCAGTATGCACTAGCCCTTGAAAAAGAGGCTCGAGTCTCCTCGACAGCCAAGCCAGCTCTAACAGCCTGGGCCACAATCAATACCACTGTACCACAACAACCGGCGGGTGTATTTTAAAACAAACACATCAAACGGAATTGTCTCCGAAGCCGGGGTGTTGAATGCTCTCAAGCCCATCTTGCCCATACCTACCTAGGTACCCCAGCACAGCCCGACGCGACGTCGCTCGCCGAAGTGAAACGTGAAACGTGCGGACGGATCCCTGCTCAACTCTCATCCCGCGCTGGCGGATCTGGCGATCCCCCACAGCGCTCACAACCGAACAGCCCGCTCCTCGGTTATGAGCTTCTGTTTCCTTCGCCGAGAATTCCTCCCTAAGCTTCTGATAGACCATAGTCAAGGGCAACCTGGTTCGTTTTTTCAGGCTGAGCAAATCACATCGTCACGCGGCAAGGGACCACGAAGATAAATCCGCAGGCACTGGTCAGACCGCCAACCGGTGTTGGCTCGAAATGCCCTCGACCGCCGTCTTCCAAATGTATGAAGGGTCTTCAGGGGTCCCACCAAACATTTTTGAGCCTCCACGAATCCCAGCGTATAGCAAGTGTGGGATATCGCACGTTCTTAAGCCTGATGGCATCTGGTCGAATATCTGATTGACGTGAAGGACGGGCCTAGTGGCGTTTACGTGACATCTGTTCTGCACAGCACTGACGATAGATTAGCGTCCAAGGCAATGTACGATGGCCCAACACGCCGACCGGCCTCTAACAAAGCCTAAAATGAGGTGAAGGACTGTAATTGACCTCTAAGCCACCAACCCAGTCCGCAAGCCAGCATCCGCAAATCAAAATTCGTCTTCGAGTCGTTTGAGGAAACAGTTCTAAATCTCTGACGGCCCGGGAAGAAAAGCCAAGGAGTTCAGCCGCCGCCTCGGTGTTTTGGTGGTGTGTGGTCTGGTATGAACTGTTCTTCATACTCTCCCGCGGCCTAGTAGGTGTGGCGGAAAAAAAACAGACAATCCAGCACAATCAGTCGTGGGGTACGGCTGGAATGAGAGCTTGATTGGAATGCGGGATCGTAGCCGAGGGCGCCAACACGTCTCAGAATGCCAGCGAAAAGCTCCAGGGCTGGAGGTTCTCGAAGTCTGAAGTCCTGGTGCGAGAGAGGGGAACAAATTTGGGCGAGTCTCAGAATCCAGGTGAAACGAGGCACGGCTCAAAGCCACCAAGAGATAGTGAGCGGTCAGCTTATCCGTGATGGCAAACTTCCGACCTTCGGTCGTCTCTGCCGGACAGAAACGCCAGACGAAAAGGATTGGACCGGATTCCGGCGCTGTACGCACGGCTCGCCAAAGTGTTTGTGTGCCTTTTGTTGCTTGTCAACTGTGTCAGTCGAGGAAACTCGCCCTCAGCCCACCCCCTTCGCATCGGGATAGCCAAAAGGGGAATATGTCCCTTCCAACCACGACCTCTTGGGCATTCAGTTCGTTTCTGTTAAATCAAATTCCAGTTGACTTCCTACTTTTGGTCTCACGAGCTGGTTGTTTGAGCTTCATCCATGTCTGAGATGCCGAATTGGTGATCAACTTTGGGCACCGTCGTTTTAATCTAGAGGCTCTGAAATATCTATGTCCCAGGGATTATTAGAATGGTTCCTTTTGGGGGATGGTGTCCAGCGTTTTGTCTAGACGAGGTTGACTGATACACCACGCAGAATCGCGACCAGTTCGGAAAGATGCCGGGTGTCTTGATTCAGGACCGGCTTCTGGATGCCGAGGGTGGCGGAGCTACTGAGCGGCAATCCCGTTGCGCCGCCGATGATGGGCGCCGATTGGGTTACACTGAAAGCGGCACGCATTGATAAAGTTGTGTTCATACTCTAAGCCAGACGTGCATTGCTATATCTGCTGCTCTTCAACACCTGTTACCCATCATGATTGGTCTTTCCACTGTCATCCATAGGCAGAACCTTCCCCGGATATAATACTGAGCAACAGTAACTTCAAATGCCTCCCTCATCAGGAGCATCGGGAAGCGCCATCACCATGAACTCCCGATTCTTGGGTTATGTCGCTGTTTTTTTGTCACAAACAACATAAACTATATTTTCATCGTCAGTTATGTATTAGGTAGTGTACTCATTACAGTTTTGTCAAAGGCTAAAAAGCCACTCCTGATGTCTTGGCGCAACGGAAAGTCATACTGGAGTGGTTACGCTAGGGCTAAACCAGCGATAGGTGCCACGTATATAGACTGTCCAAACTCAGAAACCCTCTGGGGACCTCCCTGAATAAAACTTGTATCTCTCCAAATTTACTCGCCATTAGAGTTCCAGTTGTTATCGAACTAAAAGATTATACTGTGTGAACGACCTTACGGAACAGCTGCTTGAAGCCCTTCTTTGTAGGTCCATATACGTCCTCCTGGGCTTTTTCCTGTCTGATGGAAATAAACTCTGTTTCGAAGTCCATTTCGTTGACGGCGACAGTTTTGGACTTCAACCGTAACTTGAAGAAAATGTACAGCGCTAAATCCCAAGCTCAGTATTGGATCACAACCTTTACTTTCGGGCTCATATACACACCTGCAAAGATGAACACGTTGACATAGCAGGTAAGAAACCCAGAGGCAGTAAAGTTGCCCGTTGTGAAGACATCGAATCCTTAAGTTCGTGACGTCAGTTCCTGCAATCAGACGAGGTTTTGAAGCCAAGGCTAGTGGACCTACCTGAGAAGAACACAATGAGGAACACCATAACTAGGGTAATCCACGATACGCAGGGCTGACCCGGGCTTCGATAGGGAAGGTCTTTAAACTCTACAGTTAGGATACTAGATTTTATCTGTGAATATGTCAAGGAGAACGACAGCTTACCATTTCGAGAGTACCCCTGTGCTTTGAGTCCAGCATAGAATCGAAGATATGTCACTTCTATGACGATCCAACCAATGAGCCCAGCAACAGTCGTAATGTTGACGAACCAGCCAAAGACTACGGAAGTGTTGTTGGCCACATTCAGGTAGACAAGAGGCATCAAGATGCATGTCAATCCAACAGCGTAATGAGGTGTTCCAAACCTATTGCAGCGCTGGAGGATCTTGGGAGCGTGACCATCACAGCTTAGACCATACAGAGTTCGGGAAGCGATGAAGACACAAGCTGAGCCACTGCTGATGGCAGAAGTGCACACCACGGCGTTGATTATCGAAGGTAGCACTGAGACGCCGGAACGTGTAAAGGCAATGACGAATGGGGACTGCTGCGCAGTTCCCGTTGAGATGCTCAGGGATGGGTCGTTTGAAGGCCTGTATTCGAGCACGTCAGCTACGACGTTGCAAAGTCAGGTAAGAGAGCAAGACTGACACGATCATTCCAACAATGAGGATGCTGAGAACGTAAAAGAAGAACACCCGGAAGAACGTCTTCCTGGTTGCGGCAGGAATGATCTTTCTGGGCTCTCGCGTCTCAGAACCGGAAATGGCAACAACTTGGATGTTGCCGTAGCTGAATGCGGCCGAGAGAAGGACCTTCCAGAAGGCAAGAAAGTTACCGGCTGAGCCTGGGACAAGATAGCTGTTGAAAGCCCCAGGATCCTGCCAGTAGCGGAACCCTATGCGCTCACCATTCGGCCCGCCGCCGAGGTCAATAACAAGGCCACCAATGATGAGACCAATGATTGTCATGATTTTGAGGGATGCAAACACGACTTCAGTCTGGTCGGGTTGTAAGCTTCCCAGACATAACCAAAGGCACACTATGCTCAGAGCTAGGACAAGATAGAAAGAGGGCTCGCACTTCACCGTAGAGTCGGACACCGCAAAAATTGATCGTGATGATGAACACCAAGAAAATGGTGATCCAAACGCCTGGGTTGATGGACGCGTTCCAGAATTGGATCAGAGTCGCAGCCGCACTGATCTCGGCGGGAACAGAGATGGACATTGTGTACCCTAGACTAATGTTCAACAACTCTCTTCTACGTAACGGACGAGAAACTGGTCACTTACAAAAGTTCCATCCTGTGGCAGCGCCAAGTGCTGGTTCAACAAACTTCGTCGCATGACGTATAAATCCGCCGGTTGAAGGCATGAAAGAGGTGATCTCGCCTGTGGTGTAGGATACACCCGCAGTGACGAATCCCATTACAATATAAGCCAGCAACGCACCAGCAGGGCCTGCCGTAACAATTGTTGAACCTGAGCTTAGAAACAGTCCAGTTCCCTTGGGCAAGTCTTAGCATGCTTTTCATTTCTGCACACGAAGCTTCCTGCCTGGGTGGGGACGAAGACTCACGATCATTCCTGCAATCGCAATCATGTTGATGTGCCGAGACTCCAGGTCGCGTTTGATTCCCTCATTCCCGACGGGAATAGAGGCACTTTGGCCGGACCTTGAATCCATCTCCGGAGCCGCTCCGACAATGGTCTCGTCTTTCTCCTTCCCCTCCATTGCGATGATTCACTATGAATGGAAGTTTCTGAGATACTAGACGGGGTAGGATGAACTCGTTGCCCACTCAGTTTGTTAGTCTGTTGAATGCATGGCATGGCAATTTGTCGTAGCTAGCGAATGTGGGTGACTGTTGTTAATGAAGGCACTTAGTGATAGCCACTGAGTCGTATCTGATAACGCGTCCGGAGCTGCCATTCAGGGCCTTTGGATAGGGGTGCATATCTGCGCAACTCCGCAACCAATCGGCGTGCGTTGAGAGCCCATGATCGACGTTTAGACACCGGTGCCGGGATCAAGCTTCGGCTTAGAACGCCGACCGATAAGCTTGGATGTGTCCACCCGTGCGGGGATAAAACGGCCTGTCAAACTGGATAAAGCGCTAAAGAGCGTCAACCTCGTGATATCTACCAACAACCACAGCTCCAGCCGCTAATTAAATCAATTCCTTTCGACAGAACCAATAATGACATCCAGCTCGACTCCAGAAGATGCTTTTCAGTTGTACGACCTTCGAGTTGAAGTTGTCTGTCCGCCTGGAAAGAGGATTATGTGCGGGGCCAAGGAGGGTGACTATTTCACCCTCAAGGGCGAAATGCTTTACCTACCGCCAGGCCAAGGTATCAGCATCTACAGTCTGTGTAAGTTGGAAATCTTTGTGTGCTTTTCGCGACGAAGTACTGATAATCTGAACAGCATCGGTATTGCCACTTCTCCCTGCAAAGCAACGTGTCACTTCTAAAAACGACTGGATGTCAACGGACGCGTTGATCGCATGTCCTGATCCGTGTTGCCCTTCTCAGCTGAAGATAATCCGAGAAGGTATAAGAACGTTCCGCCATTCGGAGACAACAGCGGTTCCCCTAAGCTCTGCCGATACATCGTAGTAAAAAGTGCGCGAAACCTCTTGTACATAACTCCGAATGACATTCAAGCGAAAAACACGCCATCTTGAGCATTGAAACCGGCTTCAGCCATCATACCATCCCATGCCTCGTCGTCTGCAAAGTCTAATGTCATTCCAACTTCCATTTGGCTGAATACACGGCCTGAAGTTGATGTGATGTCACTCTCCGCTACGACGTCGCGCGTGGCTGTTCTAGGCCGGCTCGGAGACTCAGGAATATTGGTTTCTCTGTTTGCTGCCTCTTCACTTAGGTCCTTGGAGACTCTAGCCAAAAGGTTGTTGAGAAACCTGGATTGCAGCGCGCAACTTGAGCCTGGCGGTGCAGCTTGCTGAGAGAACACAAGCGCTGTGCCTGAAATTGCGCTATAGATGTCGGGTCTAATATGGCGAGATATCGGGTCTGGCGTGGATAGCAAGATCTGCGGATATCTTATTAGCGAGACTGCACAGGTTTACTAAGATCACGGGGTATGTTGACTTGCCTTGATCAGAAATGCAGCACTGTAGGCAGTCATCACGTGAATAGAGTCTTGTGCAAAGTACAGCCACGACGAATGACGGCATATCAGATGTAGCATCTCTAGGGCACTAGAGTAGCTGACCCAGAGGGCTTCCATGTGGTGCGACATGTTCTGGTCGGATTGTGCCAAGATATCTTGTAATGGCAGGGAGAATAGTTGAAGTCGAAGGTGGGTACCATAAAATTGAATCAGAAAAGGATGGCAAGTATCTGTTTAGTAGGGGAAGATTAAATCGCTGGTTGCGCGGCAACTGAATGCTGCTTACCTTTATCTGCTATACGGAGCCACCTCGACTCCCATTCTTCAATTCTGCCCTTGATAATGGCTAGTAGAGATTCGAGGCTATGCAGTTGCCTTGCACGAACTCTACTTGGCCTTGGACCTAGCAGTCTGAAGACTTCAGAACTCAAAAGGCGCAATGTAACCAATGCACCAAGCAGCCGATCACCAGGAATAGCCATAGGGTCCTTGCACCATGCTTCGATAGACTCGATGAACTCACTTCGCTCGATCATCCAGGGCTTCCCCGTTTGTAGGCTTATACTGCAACGCATTAATAACGGGAGGTCTGGCTATGCCTCCTTGATCCGTCTTACCTTCGATCGTATACAAACAGAATAAACCATGTTCTCTCGATGTTCCTTGCTTGGCGGCTTTGCAGATCCGTCGTGGAGGCTGGACGTTGGAGAGAGTAAGACGCTAGCCGATGCCAACCCAGCTCCATGCCCATCCTTATCACGTAACCCAAGAGCATCCAAGCGCGGGTGTCTTCAGACTCTTTCCAGTATGTCAATATCATGACAGCTTGGGCAGTCTCGACTGACTTGGTACCCTTTCGAAAGTTGCATGTCAGTGTGTCTTCGGCATGGTCCCGGAGCTTCTTGTGAAGGGCTGGATTGAAAGCTTTCGCAGCCGCTGCTAGAACTGCTGTAAGCAGGAATGCAGACTCTTGTCGAACTCTGTTAAAGGTATGTAGTTGTGGATCCAACTGGCTAATATAAGGATTGAGGTTTACCATGAAGCTGTTGCTGGGGTTATTCACAATGCTCCATGAGTTGCAGGCGGCGAGAGGAGTGAAGGGATTCTTACTTTTCAAACAAAGACATAGCGATTGAAAGGTTCACCAAACCAAGCTGGATAGGGTCTTCTGCAGGAATACGAAACTCGTTGGATCGAATCTCTGGACGAGTCGAGTCTGGAGCATTCAAAATGCTTCCGAGAGAAAAGCTCCCGCGAGTCGCTTCGCGGTTGAACAACCCGGCTGGCTGGAGGCTTCCGTTACTCCAGTCAGGGCTTCGTCGTATTGTCGATCCCTGTGCGCCTCCGGTTTCTGTTTCTTCATATTGTCTGGGCCGCACCATAGGAGATGAATTTATTGGAGCCGATGAAGATGCTTTGTTGCGCCTGGTGAAACTTCAGGACTCATCAGCCTACGTTCTCCAGGCTAGGAGGGATTGATGCGAATCCATACGCACTGCGTCCCGGGTTTTCTTCCTCTGCGATGGTCTTGAAAGATACACTTCAGGGATTTGCGAGCACAACGCTCACATGTTGTTTCATTATCACCAGTGATACATTTCAGCTTGACACTCCTGCATTGAAGGCAAGCCTTAACACTAGTTGCCAAAGTCCTTCTATTAGCTTGCACGATATCTCTAGTCTTGCAATCCATTACAACTTACGCCGGTTTAGGGCCTGGTGATAGATCACTGTGTTGCTCCATCATGCGGTAGTGAAGATCCGACCGACGAATAGATCTCACAACTGACGAGAAGTCCGGCCTTCAAATTGACGGTTCAGTAGAAGTGTGGTCTCTGGGGGTTGCATCCTTCTCGGAATTGCCTATCTTGGTCCACTATTTTTGTTACCCCGCTGCTATCATCAGTGGGGCCCTGATAGAGATAAACGGGGTAGAGTCGGCATCTCAAGGGCTTTTGAACGCCGGCTGAATGGATGCCGATGCCGACCAAGACTTGGGATGAATACCGCAAGATGTAGTCATCAATCTCGAACTCGTTTTGCATTTCGCATCCGCGAAGACATTTAGACAAGGGCATAGTTACATGTAGAGAAGTGAGTCGTTGGTCAATCTCAAACCTTGCGATATACTACTGTTGACTCCTTTATCTGTTTTCAGGCTCACAACCAAATCGTCGAAATGGCGCCACACTCCGAGGGCCAGAGCGCCAAAACGGCGCACGTCAATATGATGACGGACACTATTATAACAAATCTCCCCGCCGAGAACCTGCGGGTAGTAATGCGGTCGCTGTTGGCCGCTCACCCAGACATCACCACCACTTTTGAAGCGGAGACGAGAAACTACATTTTGGATGTGGCCCTTCCAGCCGCCCAGTCGCAGCGACCTTCAAAAACCAACATTGCATGGCTGCATAGGACTCAGGAGACAATACGTTGTATGTTGGGTTGCGGGCTCAGTTCTCAGAGCATCCCGCTCATGACAGAGGTGGTCACTCAGGGTGTCAAGCTTCTGCTTGACCCAGACACTACCAAAGAGGATACGCTTAACACGTTGGCCTCAATCGATGGTGACATTGTGCAGATTATGACAGCTGTCGAGAAGACATTGTTGGCGGCTTCGCGAACGTCCCTTATGGATGATGAGCGCACACTTGTGACTAGCCTACACGAAAGCCTCGTGGAATGCAGGGCCATCACAGACGAGAAGGCTCTGGAATATCCATACGGAAGAGCACTCTTCTCAACTTCGATGCTACTAGGACTTCCTCTTCCAAAGTTCGACAATGCAGCAGGACCCCGAACTTTGACGTCGGATGGCCTCAAGGCAGGTCCCATGGAAGCCAAGGAGACCTTTGAGATGAATGGACGCAGGCTTCCTAGAATATTTTCAGGGCTCTGGCAATTGTCTAGCCCATCCTGGGGTTCCGCACCGACGTCCAAGATTATCGCCCAGTTCTCCAAGCATCTTGAAGCAGGCATGTCGGCATTCGATATGGCAGATCACTACGGTGATGCAGAAATCATATTTGTGAGTCGTGAAGTCTGTCGAACCGACGTCGTTACTAACTCGATCAGGGCCGCTTTCGGTCGTCGTACCCTTTCAAGGATGCAATTTTTGCAGCGACCAAATACTGCGTCTTCAACCCGATGAAAGTCACGCGGGTTGCGGTGGAGGCCAATGTTGCAGAACGATGCCGGAGACTGCAGACTGACAAGATTGATCTGCTGCAATTCCACTGGCAGTTTGTGAGCATTCGGCGAAGGCCGACTTGTCCGTGAAGTCGCCAGAAGCTAACATTGTAAAAGTACAACGATCCTCAATACATCGAGGCATTGCGCTTCTTGGAAGAAGACCCAAGAATCACTAACATGGGTCTCTGCAATTTTGATACTGAGCACCTCGAAGTGGCTATAGCTCACGGTATCAAAGTTTACACAAACCAAGTGCAGGTATGACAGAGACTCTTACTTGAACATGCTAGCTGGAGTGCTTACTCGAAATCCCCAGTTCTCCCTGATCGATTCTAGACCAACGGTGAAGATGGGCAAGGTGTGCGAGAAGAACAACGTCAAGCTCTTGACCTACGGAACACTGGTACGCTGCGGCAAAAGCTCTAGTTGATATTGAAGTGCTGACCGATGCTCTTGCAGTGTGGCGGGTTTCTTGCCGAAAAGTGGCTCGGAAAGGGGCAACCCGATCTTTACGATGCAGCCATCACCCCAAGTCAGCGTAAATACTACGCCATGATACGTAGCTGGGGAGGCTGGGAACTATTTCAAGATCTATTGCGGGTGCTCAAGACGGTGGCATCAAAGCACAGCGTCAGCATCTCCAACGTAGCGACGCGTTGGGTCCTGGACTTCCCGTACGTCGGGGCGGTTATTGTCGGGGCTCGAATGGGCATCAGCGAGCACACGGACGAGAACTTGGCCAGTTTAGGGTGGTCGCTGGATGAAGAAGATCGAGAGGCGATCGAGGTAGTATTGAAGAACAGCAGAAGGCTAGACATGTTTGAGGCGATGGGCGATTGTGGCGGAGAGTATCGTTGAGGGCCAACAATGGCGTGGACACGTCCTATAGGCGATTTAACGGCTGCGACTCTCATGGCTCTTTCTTGAAGGCATCTCAGTGCAACGCACAAGTATTCGACGCTAGTTTCTATCGCTTGCATTATTCTGCCATCAACTAGGCTCTTAAGCCATTGTCAAGAGCTTGTCAATGGATTTCAAATTGACGACCATATGCCGTCTGCTGTAAAACTAACTGTTGGGTTAGGATGGGTATCATAAACGCCTCCAAGCCTCCTCGCATTTTTCGCCTGTCCCTGTTCTGCCAATATTAAGCCACGCTGTGCTGTCATCACCTGAAAATCCGCCGTCCGCCAGTTCGGACGGGAAATCTCTCCACTCCACTCTGCTGCTGTTCGTGCCATAGACCCTGAATGCCAACCCAGCCTCCATCTCCAGACATCTTGTAACGTCGCCACGCCTCACGGAGATGATCCGGCCGCAGGGGACCCCTTCTGTCCTCCTTAGCAGCTTGGGTCTGGCTGGCCTCGTCCTTCGGCGGAGGCGTGGGCGCCTCGGACTGTTTCTCGCCTGTGGCCTTGATCCACTCGCCCTGCACGTCTCGAGCTCTCTCAATAAGCTCTCCAATGAAGAGCTTCGATACCGACTTGACGGCAAGAGCGACGTTCGGCGGTACTGACTGCGAGACAGTCGCGTTGACAACCTGTGAAAGCGGTCAGTATGATGCTAAACAAGAATGCTGCGCATCAAGCTGCGAGAGAAACCTACCCTCTTCACCACAGACTCTGTCAATTTGGCTGCGCGCCAGAGTTCGTAGCGGTCGTACTGTTCGGGATCGAAGGATTCGACGAGCATAGCACGTAGTCTGATCTCCTCTTGCTTCTGTTCCTGCGTCCGGACCGTAGAATCCACCAACGCCATGCGCATGTCGTTATCGTCATCGTCATCGTTGGCGCCGTCATCCTGGCCTTCAGCTCCCGCGCCCGTTCCGCTAACTGTCGTAGGTGCGCGCCCGCCCACGAGCGACGGCGTCTGCTCTCTCGTCTCCACATTCGTCTGGTTCTTAGGCTTCCTTCCGCGCTTCTTCTTAGGAGGCGCGCTGACCTGGCTGCCGCTAACGACGCTCAGGTTATCTGCCGATGGTGAACGCGGGAAAGGCGATCCGGCTTCGGGGGGGAAGGAGGTTTGGCGGAGGGGATGGGCGGCGGCTGAGGTGACGGAGAGCGTCGAAGCCTTCCGGCGCTTAGCGGATCCCGCGGGGGCGCCATCCGAGGCACGCTTCTTGTTCGACATCGGGAGTTGTGCAGAGGACGGATATGGTGGTGATAGCGCGGTCGGAGAGTAGGAGTATGGAGGAGAAGCCATCGTGAAGGGTTGGCGATGGTTGTAGAAATCGATCGGGTCGCAGAGTGACGGAAGGCGCCAGGGGGGTCCGCAGTCAGTTTGTCAGTATTGCAAGAAAGAGCGTTCGTTTATTTAAGAAGATTCGAAGGGTAGCCTTGTCGAGGAAGGCGTTGGTTCAGCTGTTGGTGAGGTCGTCGATGGATATTCACGTCGGCATCACTGACGGGAATGGTGAAGTCGCGCCCGCGATTGACGGCTGCAAGGAAAGAACAGCTGACTAAGATATTTCTTGACTAAGCTGCCGTTTATCGGACAAATCACATGACCAGCACTACCGCCAGCGGAACGTGGAACGTGGGCGTTTGAGTGGGTACCACAAGACTTGGACCCTTGCATCGAAACGTACCGGAAAGGTGGGTACCTTACAGAGCTCGCAATTGCGCTATGCAAGTGGTGTGCCGCAACCTGGGGAGCAGAGGTGCTACCGTCCGATAAGATAAGGCCGGCCGTAGCCGAATTTTCTGCTCCGATGTCCCTCCAAAACTATTGAGTCCGGCGGGTCCAGCTCTGGGGTGGTACTTGGGCTCGTCCCTCTGGAGCAATCCCCCTCCAACATCCCTCATCCACAACCGCCATAGGTCCCCGGCACCACAGAAACCGACGACAAAATGACTCGATCCGAGGTTGCAGAGAGAAAGAGCCACAAGAGCCGCAAGCACCAACACAATGGTCACAGCGGTTCAAGCGACCTGAGCGACGCCGAAACCGCGAGCCAGTCGTCCAGTAAGCGGGATTCCAAGAAGCGCAAAGGCGGCGACGATGATGCCAAAGTCAATGGCCATCCCGCCAAAAAGCTGCGCCGCCCAAGCTTGAGCCAGCCGGCGCGCGACCCTCGCGACACAACTACCGCCAAGCCGTCCAAGAAGAAGTCCAAGGCCAAGTCTGAGGGAACAGTGACGAGATCCCCGAGCCCGGTGATTGACTTTGATGGCCTGAGTCGCCCAAGTAAGATCTGACACCATTGCCGACCCCGCGCAGGCAGCTTACTGACTTGCGCCCTTTTCTCAAGGCCTCGGAACTCGCGAGCGACTCGAAGAATCTCCCGAGCAAGCCGCCGTCCGTCTCGACAAACTCAAGGGCGCTGTCCGTACGATTCTCGAGTGCGTCGGCGAAGACCCCGACCGCCCGGGCATTCTCGACACCCCGAGACGCTACGCTGAGGCCATGCTCTTCCTGACCCGCGGCTACCAGCAGAATGTCAAGGACATTGTCAACAACGCCATCTTCCAGGAGGGCCACAACGAGATGGTCATTGTCAAGGACATTGAGATTTTCAGCATGTGCGAGCACCACCTCGTGCCCTTCACCGGCAAGGTGCGTCACTGACCATGACCACGACCAATTGACCCGAGCGATAGCTAACCGAGGTCTGCAGATGCACATTGCCTACATCCCAAAGAACCAGGTCATTGGCCTTTCGAAGCTGCCCCGCATCGCCGAGATGTTCAGCAGGCGTTTCCAGATCCAGGAGCGCCTGACCAAGGAGGTGGCCTACGCCATCATGGAGATCCTCAAGCCGCAGGGCGTGGCTGTCGTCATGGAGTCCAGCCATCTATGCATGGTGATGCGTGGTGTGCAGAAGACGACGGCGAGCACAATCACCAGCTGCGTGCTGGGTGCGTTCGAAAAGAAGGAGAAGACCCGTAATGAATTCCTCAGCTTGGTGGGGTTAAAGACTTAAGGGAGGAATGCAATGCGCACATGGGCAGCCTGAGACGTGACCAGTGAGGCGGCGGTGGTATTCGTGTCATTTTCTTTCTACATACGGCGTTTGGTTTACACGGACATGCATCACGATTTGGAGAGACCATGTTTTCAACACTGGGTCCACAAGCATTGGCGATTTTGGGAGGTAGATTTCATAAGATGGGAGCTCAACGCTCGTTCAGGGTCAAAAGATTTTTCGCAGCGCAGAATACAATACCGACTATGTGTCGCAGGCTGGGTTCGTCGCCAGCCGCCGCGGACAAGCCTGGACTTACCGGCATATCGTGCTGTCATCGTGTGATGGTCTCGTAGCGGTGAGGTCCTCTCCCTGCGTCGTGGCTGCTGCGAAGGAGCGCGCAATGGAGGAGGAGTGAGACAAGGTCATTGACGTTTGACTCACAAATAAGCCGGACTGAAAAGCTTATGCGGGATGAAAACAATCGGAAACCCCACGTCACGGCCCCTAAAAGTAGAGACACATGATCGAACCGGGGGCGGAAATAAAGAGAGGGCAATCGAAAAAACGGTCAGCCACCGTCAATGTCGACAAAACGAGAAAAAAGAACTCTCCCCTTCCAGAATCGAACTAGAGACCTTTCGATGACAAGGGATTAACCATTACAGTCGAACGTGATGAACCAACTACACCAAGGGGAGATACCGGAGCTAAGCTCCGCTTGATGCGATGTCTGGCGGGGCAGAATCCTAGTCCAAGTTGGAAAACCGTGAGAAGCCGAGTGTTCCGATTTGCTGCACGTTGCGTTTGTGATGCTGCGTTCCATCAGTGTCCAATAGTTGTAGCAAAGAAAAGCGTTATCGGGAAACCATGTCGAGCATTTTGTGCGATACGTGGGAGTTCTGTTCAAGGTGATGGGACTCAAGGACAGTCGTACCATTCTGTAAATATGACTGATACTCTCTAACAGTTAAAGATGCTAACTACGAGCGCAATTAATAGAACTAGCCGAACTGCCGTGACGCTTTGATGCTTATTCTTGCGTCATTTTCTGGTCTGCCGCCAGGTATTACGTTTCCCAGACGGCTTACAATAGCGCAACGAACAATGGCGGTAAGAGAACAATGAGAAGGGCAACCAACACAAAGGTGGTGTAGGAGGGAAGCTAAACGCGTGTAGTGCGAGGCCAAACCCGTGTCCAGCACCCGCATGGCAAGCCAACCGTGGTCTCCTCTGATTCATCTACCTACACCGGACTTGCACACCCAAAACTCGTGGCCTGAGACTTGCCGTTGAACGCAGCAATCAACCCCTCAATCGACGAATACATGCCCAGCGCCGTGGTCACCAGCCCGCCCAGCATGTACACGATGTTCCACGTGTTGAAGAAGGGCCGCTTCATGAACCCCCTCCAGTACCGCCGGAAACCGCCGTCGACGTAGGCGTATCGTCCCATCGCCGGGTCGAACGTCTCCTCCTCGGGCACCATCGCGTCCTTCCGGATCCAGAACCCAACCCCCAGCAGCGCCGGCAGGGTATACGTGAAGCTCAGGATGAAGAGCGCGCCGATGAACCCCGATATGAGGGAGAACTGCGGTACTGCGGCGCCGACGATGAACGCGATCGTCCAGTACACCGGGATGAGGCCCGCCCAGAGCATTTTCCCCGCCGCCTCCGTCAGTGCGGGGGCGCCGAAGACGCCCTGCAGCAGCTCGACATAGAGCACCTTCATGCCGATGTTGCCGTACAGACCGGCCGCGATCAGCCCCGTCACCAGCCCAAGGATGTTGGTCGCCGTCTGCCACCAGTACGGCGACAGGCCCTGCATGACGGGGTTGAAGGCGTACTGGCCCTGAAACGAGTACACGTACAGCCCGAAGACGAGGTAGCACGCGTAGATGAAGATCTCGCCACACAGCAGGGCCTTCCAGAAGTCCATCGGGTGCCGCATCTCCGCCATAAAGGCCGCGAAGATGAGGCACCCGCCGTACGAGTAGACGGCCTGGTTGAGCCCGTTCATCGACCCCAGGAACCCGGAGCCGCCTGAGGCCTTGCCGGCCGGCGGCGTACCGGCGAAGGTCATGACGGGCCCGGGGCCGAAGGCGTCGCCGAACGACGCCTGGGTCGCTACAAAGTTGGGTGGCGAGTGCGCCACGACGCCCATGCTGTAGTTTTTTACGCCCAGTCAGCTTTTCCATCCAGTCTGCTCCCCTTAGAACGTCGGGTGGGAAAGACGACTCACCAGATAAACATGATGAGCAAGTTCACCCAGACCGCCAGGTTCGCAATCCACGAGAACCGCTGCAACGTCCTCACCTGTCCCAGCAGGAACCCCGCCGCCATGAAAATGATGAGACACACGACGAAGCAGATGCCCGCGCCGCCGTTGGGGCCCTTGGAGATCTGCGAGATGGACTGCCCGTTGCCGAGGATCAGCACGGAGACGGACAGCAGGAGCTGCAGGCCCTGGGCAACGTTGACGGCGTGCCGCGCGCGGGCCCCGAAGACGCGGAAGTACAGGTCGCCGTAGCCCTTGAGCGGGTACCGGTCCGAGTCGAGGCCGAGGAAGGACTTGTGCAGGATCCAGCCGGAGCTGCACGGGTTAGTGGCCTTTTACCTGAACTACTTTGGGTATGGTGCCGACTTACTATAACGACGTGATGCCGAAGACGGTGTAGAGCGCGATGCCCGGCCCGTAGCCCATTTGTGCAAAGGCCCATCTGCTCCATCAGCTTCAAACTCACTACCGAAAGGATGATGTACTACTTACGGCGTCGAAAACGGACCCAAGACATCCGTCGTGATGAGATAGAATATCGCACCCCAGCTTGCTGTCCTCATCGCCCGGCTCGCCCTCTTCCACTCCGCAGGCGTCACCACACCGCCGTCGCCCTCCCTCGCGGGTTGCAGGGCCTTGTCACTCCCGTCGGCATTCTTCTCTCCCCCGCTCACATCCTCGGGTCCGGCCTCCCCGCTCCCGACTTGGAACCTCTCGTGTTCATCGCCCTTCCTGAACCGGTCCTTGATCACATTCTTCCACGTCACGGGGCCCTGGGCCTGCAAGAACCGCTCGTTGGCCGGCTTCTCCTCAGCGCGCGTGATGCTGGCCCAGTAGAGGTACTCCTCGAACGTGACGTTCGGGTCGTGGAGGTTCGCTGCCGGCTGCGCCATGTCGATGAGGTGTCCGTTCCCGTGGGAGGACGCCTGGCCGAGCTGAAGGTACTGCTCCTGCGTCTGTTTATCGCAGCGGTCGTGGGCGTCCGTGGACGCGGGCGCGATCGGGTGTGCGGGCATGTTTGGCGCGGGCGTCTCAGAGTCGGGACGAGTCCAGGCACAGCAGAGCATTGATGCAATGGATCCGAGGAAACATCAGTCTACTTCGAGGAGGGGAACGCAGGACAGTTTTGTGAGTGTAGGCCAATGGGGTTCTTATGAGTTTGCTTTGATGCGACTGATAACAGCCCATGCCGATATGCCATTTGCTTCCAGAAATCACAGTTGCAGCTACCCACGGACATGCGGCAACTCGAGATCCCTCGTCCCGGCGGCCCAAATGTTTCGACCCCACGACGTGCTTCCACTCCCCTCTCGCTATCTAAATTGTCAAATGGTGGTGTCCAGGAGGTCGTCCCCTCAGCGACCCTGCCTCCCGAAGCTAAGCTTTCTGGATCCCGGGCCAGCTGCAAGTACGGTATGATAAGGGAAACCGGTGTAACCCTCGCCCCTGCATCTCGTGGTATCGAGAGAGCTGATTTGACAACGGAATTCTTCCCGCTTGGCGCTGGGGACACCGTCTGGTCCTCGACTGCTTGCCTCGACTGATCTGTCACTCGACTGTTGGGGAAGGTGGATACAGTCGGTTGGTGCTTTGGAAACCAACTCACGGCGCCAACATACGCAAAGCCAGGGTGCGGGCATTCGCTGATAACTGGTGCTACCGAGTGATGGTCACGATAAGGGACACGGCAACGATCAACTAGATATCGGCAGTTTTCGAACCTGATGACGTTGTCGATATCCGAGCCACCCCGTAGATTGGGGCTATCACACGGTCACTACAGCGCAAAAAGTCCCCCAATTCAGTTCTTCCTGGCCGGTGGAATGGACTCTCCGTCCAGCCGGCTTATCTCCTCCCCTTGAATTGTTTCCTCGCTCAACGAACGATTCGTGCGGTTCCACGAACCAGAAAGTCAATGGCCTAGACCGAAAGGCCTCTGGTGTGGGGGCGACGGAGATCCGGCTCGACGGGACCCACCAGTGTCGGCATCGGTGCCGGATAGAGTCTGCTCTTGTCACCTCGGATCCTCCGCCGGGGACTGGGGCTAAGGAGGGAAAATGGGCGAGGCGGAAATAGGGGCGAGCGAATTTTACCCTTCTGTCGAAATTTCCCTCACTTGATACCTACCTAGTGGTAGTCCCCGGTTATCCTACGTCAGACACGTGAAGAGTAACTCAGAGTTTTGCCCATTTGCCACCTGCTTGAGTAAGTGGAGACGGCCCCTCCCTGCACTACTGTGGCAGTCGACAGAATAGCACGGCCTGGAGTAAGAGGAGCATAGGCGATCGAAAAGCCATCGGTGGTGTGTATAATGATTCCATATGGAAAAGGCCCTGAATCTTTGCGACATGCTATGCCAATAGTGTACATGGGTTTTTACAGTTCAAAGACAGACTTCGTTTATGGCATTACAGTCAAGAATCACTCCTCTTCTTCCTTGACCTCCTCCTTAACCTTCTCTGTCAACTTGGTCGACTTGCTCCTCTTTACCTCTCGCTTCTTAGGCTTCAGCCACTCTTCCATGCCTTCGGGCCAGTAAACCCTGCTTTGAGGTCCACCCATCCCAAAATCATCAGGGGAAATGGCCGTCCCATCGACATCCATGGGCCCAGGCTCTGCTACCTTGTCGTTGTTGTCGTCGTCGTCGTCGTCGTTATCATCGTCATCGTCCTTGGCCTTCCTCTTCGATTTCTTGGGTGACTTCTTATTCTCCTTTTTGGCCTTTCCAGCCTTGTTGGCACGAAGCTCGTCCAATCGTTCATAAGGCACAATGTCGTTGAAGGTATTGTATCCTGGAAGCTTGAAAGCACGCATGAGCTCGAAGACGGCCTGCTCCTTGTCCTTGGCCTCGATCATGAGATCCATGTCGGGGGGGCAAGGAGGCAATGTGCGTACACGCGGAGAGTGCTTTCGTCGGTCACGCGGCGTGGTGGCACCAGGGCAAGATTCACTGTAATGCATCTTTTGTCTGATGCCCTTGCGTGTCCAGGTCGCGCGAATTCGATCGAAGAGTTTTGTGATGTCTTCGGTACCCTCTCGTAACTGGCTCGAGTCAAAGATGATATTGTGGTGATGGAAGTCAAGGACCATAGGAATGTTTAACTCCTCGCATACTGGTAAAAGGTCATGGACAGACCAGGACACGTCGTCATTTTCCAGCACGAGGCGCTGCTTAACGGATGCCGACAACTTGGCATAATTGGTGCGGAACCGGTCCAAGGTGGACGCCTTGTCGCCATATGTGCCCCCCATGTGCAGAACCATGACTGCATCACGGTTTTGCTGCTCGGGAAGGCGGAGCAGCGAAAGCAACTCGTCGTGGTAATCCAGATCGCGGACAGCAGCGGTGAAGACTTCTTTGCGAGGAGATCCCAGCTGTGTAAACTGACCCGGATGTGTAGTCAGTCGATGGCCCAGCTGGGCGGCCACTCTGCCCGCGTCTGCGAGGGTGTCGGCAGCGAAAGGGGCGAGACGGTAGCCATATTCCTCATGACTGGCGAAAGGAAACATTTCGGAGCTGAGGCGCATGAACTTGATACCGTACCTGTCGTTCCATCGAAGCATCTTTGGGATGTCCCTGGCGTTAGCCAGCCCGAGTTCCTGGACGTACTTCTGGCCCCGCTGGATATCGGCAGGCTTTGTCTCGTCGGGACGATTCTTGGTCGAGTGTTCTGGCTGACTTGGATCTGCTAGCGGATGCCGGTGTTGCAAAATGGACGCAATGCGACAAGTCCTCGAACTGAAGACCGGTGGGTTGGCAGCACGGAGGTATGTGTTGAGACAAGCCTAGGAAGAGGCGTTAGTCGATGTTGGACCGAGCATGGTACGGCATCTTTGAAGAAACTCACATAACCCAATCTACCTTTCCATGGCAAAGGCAAGCAGGCACTGTTGATTGGTGGTTCCCTCCCAGCACCTCTTTCGGGGACGTCCTCCCCACGAATCTTGTCATCCTCAACGTCACCCGCCGCAGCTTCACCCTCAGGCCCATTGATCGGTGCGACGTCCAGGTTAGGGGTGCCAGAACGCTCTTCCTCGGCTTTGCGAGCGCGATCCTCAGGATCAGTCCTTCTCGTATCCAAACGGGGTCTGAAGGCACGATCCTCTGGTCGCACAACGTTGTAGGGAGGACTAACGGCGCTTGCTTCGACGGCCAGGCGTGAGGTTCTGTTGGCATTTTGCAAGCGGTTCTCCATCTCGCCGAGTTCTTTCATGGCGCAAAGCACGCCATCCTGAGACGCCTCCATCTTGCTGCGACTGAGCTGGCGGCGCTTTGCGGGTGGCTCTCGTGCGATTTCGGCACGGGTGGGGCGCATGCCGGCGCCGGGTTCGGTCACAGGTTTAACGTCGTTCAGGTTACGGGCGGAGCGGCGCGGAGCAGGTTTGTCAGGAACGGGTTTGGCGGACTTGTTCGTAGTAGGTGGCCCATTAGGAGCAGCAGACTTCTTGCGTTTGGAGGAAGCCATGGCGGCGTAGGACTTAAGTATGGGTGGCTGCGTATGCTCGGCCAAGGATTGGCAGGTGTGGAAAGAACAGGCGAAAGATGAGCTCAGGGGCGGGACGAGTGACGGCACAGAGCTGGCGTTGCGGAACAGTCGTCGAGCGAGACGCAAGCGATTGGTCGCGGCGGAAGAAAAGCTCCTCATGCACACAGGAACCGGGGACGGCGGCGACGGATCAGGTGAGAAGAATGGCCCAGCATGAACGATGAAAGGTGTTTGACAACTTCTAGGATGGCCTACCTATGCCCGGACTAGAGGGTGGGTGGTTTGTCAGGTGGGAACAGCAAGGCAAGAGCAACAAGGAGGGCATCAGATGGAGGCAAGTTACGTACATGGTAACGAACCAAACGCCAGAAGACGGTTACGTACCTCTTCGTGGGTACGAGGGAGACGGATGATGTTCTAATGCGTTGGTTGGAGAATGAGAAGGGCCAGGCCGCAAAGAGGGGCCGGAAGAGAAAGTGAGAAAGTGTGAAGGGAAGCAGAGATGAGAGGTAACGCAGAGAAAGGCAGATTAGGTGCAGTGCGTAGCGTGGAGTATAGGGAATAGGGTAGAGTAGAGTAGAGTGACGCGACGGGAGCTGTGCGGGTGCGACGAACGACGTAGACGAACGAAGGATGGATGAGGTCAACCAATGAGGGCTAGGCCCGAAAGAGAGGGATCAGATCCATCAGAGCGAAGCGCATCGGATCCGGTGAATAGGCACTGACATCGGCTTACCTTGGAGTACTGGTAGCTCAATGTGGAGAAAACGCCTCGACTCGAGGTACATGAGTATCTTGAGCAGTTTGGACAGCACCCCTGCTACGTGCCGCGCCTCGTGGACTCTCACCGTACAGGAGGCGTTGCATGTCAGGATCCGATGCAGTGGGCGAGTGGCATGAGTAGGCAGGTACAGTCACTGAGGTATGGATATGGATGGTCGGTTCTCGAGCGACTTCTGGAGAGAAGAAAGCATCGTGCTTGCCGCCTACAGGCCATGGCAGGCAACAGAGGGCTAGCCTACCTAGCACCTTGATTGGTGTCGGCGGAGCAGAGCGGAAAGAGCTGGAGCTATGCCAGTTGTTGCCCATTCAATGTGAGGAAACAGCGAACATGCAAGAAGCAGCACGGACCAGGGCGGCTGCGTCATTCCCCCGGCAAGCAGATCAACGGGCAGGAGATCCGACGTCACCTTGACTGCTTGCCCGCCACACTTCGCCTGGCGCCATCCACCACCCATCGTGATTAAGGTACCACCATGCCTTGCAATGGCAAAGAAAATACCTAGCCACACATTCTCGACGCGACGATGACAGGGGGAACATTGCGTACCGCACCGCATCCCACAGGAAAGCACTTGCTGCTCGTCGACGGGCCTGGCCATACAAATGCCCGCCTTTTCTTCCTTCTTCCCCCCTCCAATCGCAGATTTACAGATTCACAGCAAAATCGCAGATGGGAAAGTGCAGGCCTCTTGGTGAGGGTGGGCACTTTCCTCACCAAGGCCACTCCACTCACAAACAAAATACCATACCGGACATCGTACACTACCTTGCGAATCGTACTTTCCCCACACACCTCTCAGCCTCATGCTCATGACCTCATTGTACCAAACTTTCCACTGCTGAGGGCAGCGCAACCCCTGCACCTGCCGATTCATTGCACCTCGTCCAAATGCCTACGATTGACTAATCGTGCCTGCCCAGGTACTGTGGTGCTCTGTCTTAACTTTTTCTGGTCGCTCATTTCGAGGCTGCGAGCAAGGAAATAGGAAAATGGATAACCTGGCGACTACAACAACAACAACAACAACAACAACAGCGACACCGACAACGACGCCTCGAAAGCCCATCAAGCGTGGCACGGACGAAACATCGGCGATGCAACCCGGCGGCAGCAGGACGACGGGAGCTAACACAGCCCTCCAGCGCTAGTTGATGCTTCTGTGTTGCCTTGACGTTTGATTGGGTCGCCCGATATCGAACCTCCAGCCTCTGGGCCTGTCTCAGGAACACAAGCTCCGACGTCGAATCATAGTACTCATTCACCTATTTGCCCCTGCCTCAATTACAATGGGCACTGGACCAGCAGCTCACCGAACCCAGCCAGCCTCCGATTCCATATCCGAGGAGCATGACAACGATCCCGCATAGATTAACGATATTGACAGACGAGGCCCCTGTGGTAGGTCCACCCCCTACTCTGCCTCTTCTACTGTACATCACAACGCCTACTGAACTACGGTGCTCGAACGACATGAGTTACAGGGCCCAGAGACGAATTGGAGGTGATACGCAGGTCAAAGTACACCAGGTACCGACGAGTATCCGTGTAAGGCACGTCACATTGCCGCAGTTCTGATCTGACCACCAACAGCAGCCCCTCTCGTCGGAGTTTCTCCCGGTTCGCATGATTGGGCGGTTGCGTCCGTCTTGCGTCGGAAAGTGTAGCTTTTGTCTGCTTATCGGATGAACTCGTTGTCTCCGCGGAGAGCACAGTCTTTGACTGTGAATCGTCGGCTACCTACTACAACCACATCCTTATCGAATGTCGCCCAACTTTTCCGCCACTTTTCGTCGTGCCACCCTGGCTCCGTTCCACCGCCACCGCCGGCAAGCCTGCCCTGCAGATCTCAACCTTTGCCGCGAGGGCTCACCGTGCGCTATACGGGAGTCTTAAGAACATGGACTGAGCAAAACCTCCGGCCGTGACGTGGTCATCTCGATGGCCCAGACCCTGACAATCCCGCCTCGCCTAAAGCCGCGGTGTAATTCGGCAATACATGCTACGATCTTTGCTCTTTGCCGACGATCTTTTCTGACCCACTGCCAGCTTGCCCAATCAAGTCGGCCTTGGCTGTCAGCGGATCAGCCACGGCCCTTGCTTCGCGATGCGTATGTCGGAGCTCAGCAATTCATATCGCTTTCCGTGCCCATTGCGATGTTCCGCCGTTGGTTAGTCGACGTACAAATGCAGGATGGCTCGTGTGTCGCCGCACTCTCTGCTCACCTCACCGTACCGCAGAAACCTCTCCTAACACTACACACACCGCCTATATTTTTTGCCTCTCTCGTTTACGGAGCGCTGCTACCTACTATTGGACCCGTGTCTGTCCTGATGTCGTTCGACTGTCATCCATTGACCTTGACTTCACTTGGGACCGCCAACTAGCGCTTCGGCCGGAAACCAATAGCCAGTATGGCAAAGGAAAACTGCGCACACCCTACGCTACTTATTGTCGGAATCGTGATTGCTCCTCAAATACATATTGATATTGGTACTCTGGTTTTTTAGTTTGAGATGTTGAGATGGAGTAACATTCAAGTAAACAAACACCAGTCAAACAAGAGGTTATTTAGTGAATATCTGGATATCCGCCTTGATAGAATATGCTGACGTCTTTTGTTGGTCACGACGGATTCTTAACTTGTTGATTGGCTGGTTGGAGGTGCGCTTTTGTTACAAGGTTGCCCAACGTGGTAGTTCTCACCAAGAAGCAAGTTGCCGCTTCAAGCTCATCATGATAGCAAGTCTAGCGGATTACGACATCGCTCACTTGGCGTTCCTGCCGGACTTCGCTGCTATTAATATACATGATATACTTCAGCATGCACTTTGCCAGATCCGACTGGGTATCTCTGAGGCCAAAAGGAAAGGGACGGATAATTCAACATGCCGATGTTGCTTCACAAAACCGGCACCGCGTACCGCGTAGCGGCAAGCCTGGCCGGGGTCGGTCTGGCAATCTCGGGCCCGTCATTTTCTTCCTCCGGCCCTGGCCCCAGCCCCGGCCCCGGCAATGCAGATGCCGTCCTGGCTCTCTCCTCCCGCGACTGCCAATAACGATTACGGCAAACGGGGCAATCATAACGTCCAATCAGAAACCACGACGAAAGGCACTTCGCATGGAAAGCGTGCTGACAACCCTTCAGCGTTAGGATATCTTCGTCGGACGGCTTCATGTGCGTCTCGACCTGTGACCTCTCCCACAACCGCGACACAGATTCTCTCCACCACGACGCTGTCGGCTTCGCAGCCCGGCCACCGCTCGCACCTCCGGTTGTGCGTTGACTCGGCGCTGCTCGCCCCCCGCTTTCTTCTAGATCCCCGACAGCCCCGCCGGAGACCTGCGAGGGCATTGCTTGCCTCGGCCCTGCTCCGGCAGCATTAGTGTTACTTGGGACGAACAGTGGTCCGATGCAGATGGGACTAGGTACCGGCACAGAGTCAGTGACAGCAACATATCAATCATGCACCAGACAAAGTGCGTTTGCCCCGCCCGTTGTTTTCGGCTCTAGAGCACGTGCTCCAGCAACCCATTGTCTTTGGCTGTCGCCATCTCCAAACAGTGGACAGCGCGACGAGACGCACTCACCATTCCGGCTCCGCATCGTGTAGGTTGATGCCCGACTCGAGATCCAGCTTCTCGAGACCGGCGCTCGTGCACACCGACACGGTGCTGAGCTTGCGACGAGCGTCCTGAAACTGCGACGCCCTGGGATGGTATTTGCGATGATCTTGCACGCGTGTGTACGTGAGACAGATCCTGCCGAGAAGCGCACACGTCAGCCCCCGTTGCCGTCCATTTGATAGCGGAGTTGGACTGCCTACGGTCTGTAAAGTGGCCCACAGACAAGAAGGACCATGAAGAGCGTAAGTAGGATTATACCGGCTTCGTCCATCCGGCCGGCGGCAACACGGCAGGGGGCATTTCAATGTCCCCGCCTGATCGTCAATTGATGCTTAGAGAAAGTCGTGCCCAGATTATTGCGACTCCTGCGATAAGGGTTGCTGGCGGCAATTTTGCATGCGGTACGGTAGATTGCTGGCTAAGAAACCTGGCGCTTGCGGCCATTTAACGGCTTCAATGAACGGCAGCCAACCTTTGTAGGTTTGATCAGATGACAGCGACGGCTATCCTTGGCCAATGCTACATAGAAAGTGGCAGATTCTACGAAGCTTGTATGGCTCGGTGGCTGGAACTTAGGAAGCAAGATAACGTTGTGGCAGATACGGAGAGTCTGCCATTGACCTATCGAGCCCACCCCGCATTCACTCATTCATTTGCAGCCGACGTATCAATATTGGCGCTCTTCACCGCTGGGCGCCCAGAATCCCATGGAATTCGCTGACGGCCCAACGGTGAAACCCAGCAGCGCTTCTTCGTGCCCAGCTTCCCCGTCCTGTATCAACCCCTCAAACCCGACATACCGGCGATGTTCCCTCTCGTGGGCCAAGACGCTTGGCAGTGAATTCGAGCATCTCAGGTGCTGGTTGGGACGCAGCTCTAGCTGAAGGACGAGAAAAATTGTCTTGTTCTGTGACGTAAACGCTGTGGGTGTTACAAGCCTTGGTATCCTTGGTAAGCGGGGGAAACACCCCTGCCCTACGTCGAGGAGAGACGAGGGGAGTCTGGACTTCTGGGCAAATGGCACAGATACACAGACGCACAGACAAGACGAAACATATCAAAGAAAAACGAAGTAATGGGGGGGTCCAACCAAAGAGACTTATCAGTGGATGGGCGGGGGAATGTTGGGGTGACGGGGGGGAGGGGCTCTTCTCGCCAGCGAGTGCCCCTCCATCCCCCCACCTTCTGCCACTCAGTCAGGCAATCAGTTTGGTGAAAAATATCGACGAACGCTGTCAAGGGTACCCCCGGAGCTTGGGAGAAATCTAAAATCACCGGGTCCAACAAGACCGGCAGCGTAAAAGGGCCGACGGCGGCGCTGGAGGAGGAGAGGAAAGTGGACTCTAGAGGAGCGGCGCCGGTGCCCAGCAGAACGGCCAAGACTCGCCAAGTTGCCCGTCATTCCTTGGCTGGCATACCGACCTACCAGAGGCTCAATCATCTTCGCCCGCAGTCCACCTCTCATGCCCACCTCGGGGCGGCCAAGACGTCCGCTGTCCAATACGATGGACCGTCGTTACTCGCGACACCGGATAGAGCAAAGGCTGGCATGCTCGTCGAAATTGGCAGAAGCAAACCCCCTCCTCCGAGTATCCCGCAAACATGCGCAAACGTGATACGCGGACAGGCGTCGCTGCAGCTGGTTAGGGTCGGGTTACCCACTGTCTTGCGCCTTCTGTCCAGAGACATGTCGTCCTATCTGAGGGGCTTGCGATATCGTTCGACACATCCCAATGAGTCCTCCAGAACCGCAGTCCGACTCTATCTACCCTCCTCCCTTTCCGCCCAGCGCCTGGGCGTCTCACTCGGGGTGGCTGTGTTTCTCGGCAGACCCGTTGTCCCCCCCGCCCATATCGCGCCCGGGACGTCGTGAGTCGGGCATACCGGGGCAGGATCCCGGTTCCAGTTCGTCCTCTCCACGGTCCTCGCAGGCGGCAATTTGACCGAATTCTGGGCAGGCGTTGTCGTGTGCGGGGGCGGGCAGAAGCAAGCCAGGACGGTAAGAGGACGAGAGAGGGCAGCGACGGCAGGACTGGTGCTGTGCAGCGCAGAGATGGTGTGACCAGAGAGGGTTGGTTCGAGTTGAAGGATAGCCGGAGCCCACCGAAATGATTCGATCGCGGGTTTCAACGGACAAGACGTTGGGCGAACGGTCGATGGTTTCGGTGTCTTCCTTTTCGACCTTGCATGGTGCCGACGTACAGACGGCGCCGAAGGCCATCCACAGCGTCCCCCGTTCATCTTCTAGGGCCGGGACAAAACACGGCGCTTTATACTTGTGTAGTGCTACCAGAGGCCTCCTGTGTGCAACATGGTGCGCGCGCGCGCGTCGTATGGTGCGTACGTCACTTGCTCACGGGCGTCACTGACAACGGGGACTGTACCTTCGCATGCCATGGCCCTGTTCTGAGAGTCGACCCAGCCGAGGCGGCAGGATGAACAAGTCGGGCACCACGCAGACGAGGGGCAGAGAGCAGGGGGAGGAAGCTGGAGGAGGGGAGGAATCAAGAATAGCACCGCGGTTCCCCCATCCCGGTATCTCTATCAAACACGAAGCCCTTGGGCGGGCTTCCAACCGTGCCGCCCAGAAAACGGCTCCTCGGCATTGTCTTGGCTGCTTGAGGGCCCCTGCAAACGCCGCAATCACTGTCCCGGCGGCGGTTCCATGTCTCTCCTACGCTGCGTCCCCTGCGTCCGGGACACCCCGGAGTCGGCTCAATGACAGTCAGACCCGTCAGACCTGAGAGAGGTGTCCGCAGGCCCGGCTTCAGACCTGCCACCCCCGGGCGCTACCATTTGCGGACTACACGGCCAACCACACAACACGACGAGAGAACGCTACTGCAGACCTGGCAGAACCCCTGTAAATGGCAGTCTTCTAGAAGGATGGGCAACCCCCACCTTGGATGTTTCTTGGAAGGCAGAAAGGTCGTTGAGTGGCCGGGCGCGGTGGGGAAACACGAAACTCTCGTCTTCTATCTTTCTGGGCGCAGCCATGTTCATCACCGAAAGCGTCGATGCCTCACCCACCCCCTCCTTTTCCTTGTCTCGGGCGGACCCAACATACTTCTCAATTACGACGCCCAGAGTCGCTCTCGGCCTCTCAGGGAAGCAGGTTGACCAGAATGAGGCCCGCTGCCCAGAGTCTGGGCGGACTCAACATGGCAGGCGGGAGCGTAAAGTGCCCACCGAGATCTGAATTGCGTGCTGTCGAACAACTCGCGTGCCCTCGACCGGTTTTCGGGCTCCCAGCTCCCAAGAAACACCAACTCTATGGAAAAGCCTGGGGTCCCCTCGGAGGAGCCCCGCGCAGAGCCGCCAAGGCTGAAGGAACACACCCACGAGCGCACTTGGTGCGGGCCATGGAGAGAGATATGTGGGCGCCTTGCGCCCCCCCATGCTGCCTGCCTATCATGTTATGAAGTCATAACGCCGAGCAACGAGACACCGTCCCGGGAGTCAAAGTATACATCTTCTCCCAAGCCCCCCGAGGTTTTGACACTGTTTGTTTCCCATCTCACTCGATATCATCAGAGATCGTCTCACCCCAGGGCTCTTTGTTGTAACCCTTCCTTCCTATGCTCGCCTGTTCTCTCGACCTAAAGGGGGTAGAAGTGCTTGAACCTGGATAAGAGCAGAGCACTCACACTTTTGCCCGTTCCATACAGCATATCAGCCAAAACAGACTTACAACAAACTCCCTCGACTCCGATTGGATCAAACAACTACCACTCTTGGCACCGCCCGGAGACATCAGACCTGGGGACCGCACATAACCACGCAGATACCCTCCCAATTCCAGACCAGTGTCCATACTACCGTCCAACGGACGAGTGACATTCTTCATCATGGGAAAGAAAGATCCCGAGGCTGAGGCGATGGCCAACCACGTCTCTGGCCAGTCCAACAAGCCTATCTCCCGTCCGGCTCACGCCTTGACTGCTGAACAAGTTGTTCAGGAGCTCAGGGCCAACCCTGACGATGGCTTGACTCCTGAAGACGCAAAGGCTCGCCTTGATGAGTACGGCCGCAACGAGTTCGGCGAAGAAGCGGGCGTCCAACCCTTGAAGATTTTCATTGGACAAATCGCCAATGCTATGACCCTTGTATGTCTTCCCATGACCTTGTACCAGGATGGTAGGCTAACATCGCCTCGATAGGTTCTGATTCTGGCCATGGGTGCCTCCTTTGGCATTGGATCTTGGATCGAAGGAGGTGTCGTGGCAGGTGTCATTTTGCTTAACATCACTGTCGGGTTCCACCAGGAGTTCAAGGCCGCAAAGACCATGGACTCTCTCCGGTCTCTCAGTTCCCCCACCGCCCAGGCAGTCCGTGAGGGCCGCAATATTACCGTCCCCACCGTCGAGATCGTCCCTGGCGACATGGTCGAGCTCAAGACTGGTGACACCATCCCCGCCGACGTCCGCATCATTGAAGCCGTCAACTTTGAAACCAACGAGGCTCTGTTGACTGGCGAGTCCCTTCCTATCCGCAAGGAGGCTGCCCAGACCTTCGATGACGAGACTGGCCCCGGTGACCGCCTGAACGTCGCCTACAGCTCCTCGACCGTCACCAAGGGCCGCGCTCGCGGCATCGTGTTCGCCACTGGAATGTACACCGAGATTGGACAGATCGCCGCCGCCCTCAGAGGCAAGAACTCTCGCCGCCGCGACGTCAAGCGCAAGGAGGACGGCTCCGCCAGTTTTGGCCGTTACCTCCAGGCGTGGACCCTGACCCTTTCTGACGCCGTCGGCCGCTTCCTCGGAGTGAATGTTGGAACACCTCTCCAAAGGAAGCTGTCTAAGCTTGCCATCCTCCTCTTCGGCATCGCCGTTGTTTGTGCCCTGATCGTTCTGGGAGCCAACGAGTTCAATACCACGCAGGAAGTCATCATCTACGCCGTCGCCACCGGTCTGTCCATGATCCCCGCCTCCTTAGTCGTCGTCTTGACCATCACCATGGCGGCGGGTACCAAGCGCATGGTCCAGCGCCACGTCATTGTCCGCCAGCTGAAGAGTTTGGAGGCCCTTGGCGGTGTCACCAGTAGGTCATGCCAGTCCTCTCTGTTGGTGATTCATGCTAACCTGTTTAGACATTTGCTCTGACAAGACTGGAACCCTCACCCAGGGAAAGATGGTTGTCCGCAAGGCCTGGATTCCCGGAAAGGGAACCTTCTCCATCAGCAACACGAACGAGCCCTTCAACCCCACTGTCGGAGACCTCGGACACAGCGTCGATCAGCCCAAGGACATCGACTTCCGCACCAAGGAGGGCGATGGCGAGCCGTTCTCCAACACCGAAGCCGAGGACCGCGTCAAGTCAAGCACCGTTCTCACCGACTACTTCAACGTCGCGTCGCTCGCCAACCTGGCCAACGTGCACAAGACCACCGAGGGCGAGTGGCACGCCCGCGGTGACCCCACTGAAATCGCCATCCAGGTTTTCGCTTCTCGCTTCAACTGGAACCGTCTTCGCCTGGCAGGCGAGGCCAACCGCTGGAGACAGATCGCCGAGTTCCCCTTCGACTCCGATGTGAAGAAGATGTCCGTCATTTTCGAGGACACCGAGACCAAGGTCGACGGAGGAAACAAGACCTGGCTCTTTACTAAGGGTGCCGTCGAGCGCGTTATTTCTTCCTGCCCCACCATCCAGATGGGCGACGAGGTCATCGAGCTTACCAAGGACATCGAGAAGGACATCCTGTCCAATATGGAGGCCCTTGCCCGTCTCGGACTTCGTGTCTTGGCCTTCGCCAGCAGGCCTGACATTGGCGTCGTCAACGGCCACGAGAATCTTGACCGTGCGATCTACGAGAAGGACCTCACCTTCCGCGGCCTGATCGGTCTCTACGACCCTCCCCGTCCCGAGTCCGCCCCCTCTGTTAAGAAGTTCCATGAGGCCGGTGTCAGCGTCCACATGCTTACTGGCGACCATCCCGAGACGGCTCGTGCCATCGCTCTCGAGGTCGGCATCCTGCCCACGCGCATGAACGAGATCTCGGCCGATGTCGCAAAGACCATGGTCATGGCTGCCCACGACTTTGACAAGCTCTCTGACGACGACATCGACAAACTTCCACACCTGCCCCTGGTCGTCGCTCGCTGTGCTCCCCAGACAAAGGTCCGCATGATTGAGGCCCTGCACAGACGCCAGCGCTTCGTGGCCATGACCGGTGACGGTGTCAACGACTCTCCCAGTCTGAAGCGTGCTGATGTCGGTATCGCCATGGGCGAGAGCGGCTCTGATGTCGCCAAGGAGGCCTCCGACATTATTCTCACTGACGACAACTTTGCCTCCATCCTCAACGCCGTCGAGGAAGGCCGCCGCATGTTTGACAACATCCAGAAGTTCGTCCTCCACGTCTTGGCCTGTAACGTCGCCCAGGCCTGCACTCTTCTCATCGGTTTGATCTTCAAGGACGACAGCGGCCTCTCCGTGTTCCCTCTGGCTCCCGTCGAAGTCATGTGGATCATTATGATCACCTCTGGTCTCCCCGACATGGCCCTTGGTTTTGAAGTCGCTGCGCCCGATATCATGGACCGCCCTCCCCAGAACGTAAGATTGTCCCCGTCTGCAACCCGTCCCAGTGCATGACACTAACAACATACAGATGAAGGTGGGCGTCTTCACCTGGGAGCTGATGCTCGACATGCTGGTCTATGGCCTCTGGACCGCCGCCCTCTGCCTGGCCTCCTTCGTCCTCGTCATGTTCGGCTGGGGCAACGGCCAATTTGGAAGCAACTGCAATAACACCTACTCGGAGGAGTGTGACACAGTCTTCCGCGCCCGCGCCACCTGCTTCGCCAGCTTGACCTGGTTCGCCCTCTTCCTCGCTTGGGAGATGGTCAACATGCGCCGATCCTTCTTCCGCATGCAGCCCAAGAGCACCAAGTACTTCACACAGTGGTTCATCGACACGTGGCGCAACAAGCTCCTCTTCTTCGCCATTCTCATCGGCTTCGTCACCATCTTCCCGCTGGTCTACATTCCTGTCCTCAACACCTCGGTGTTCAAGCACGCGCCCATCACCTGGGAGTGGGGTATCGTCTTCGTCTGTGCCGTGCTCTTCTTCATGGGCGTCGAGGCATGGAAGTGGGCCAAGCGCATCTATTTCCGCCGTGTCGCGCACAAGCAGAACGGCGGCATCAAGGATCTCGAGAGCCGGGTGTTCGGCCACTACTACACCATTGGCGGCGTCGAGCTCGAGTCCTCCCCTACCCTCGGCAGCCGGACCATCACGAACGAGAAGGAGATGCGCGAGAAAGGCGGCAACGGGTATTCCAGCGGAGGGAGCCGGTAATCGCAGCAGTAGCGGTGCGAGGAAAAGATCTACTCTTTTTATTTTGCACACGTCGTAGGGTTAAGAGTGGAGGAAATAGAGACACCAAAAGCGTATGGAGGGGGCTGATGATGATTCCATGAAGAAACTCATACGTTGCATTTTGCTGCATATAGAAATGGGGGTTGATACCAACCGAGAATGAAAAGTCTTTGATTCACGAGGAGGGATGATCATGGAATGGCAGCTAGTCAGGTAGGCTGATGCACTATTGGACCGTAACAATATAACTGCTAAGTACTATCATATACTTTAATTCATTCCATATTCGGATCCGGAACGTAAAGATACAATTGCACTTTTCCATGTAACCAGTCTTCGCATCAATAGTTGTTGTTGGTGTCAAGGCCATGGATGTCCAATCCATGTACTGTTGCGTGCTACATTGCTCAACTTGGAACATGTAATATTCCCACATAATCGATGCGAATTGGCAAGCTTGATCGGTATGTTCCATCACTAAAATACAACGCTCCAATACACTTACGGCTTGAGATGGTCTTCGATGTAGCCGTAGTGGAAGTCAGCAGAGAAGTCGATGTCGAGATTGGGATATTGAGTGTCACGCCGTTTGATTTGTGCACAATCTCTGTCTCCAAATTCGTCCTGGGCTTGGGTTTACGCATTTCTCGTGCCGCTGCCGCGCTACTGCACTCTTTGAGGTGGTTGTTGTACTGGTTGTATCTAGTGCAAGCCGGGTGCTTGTTGCAGTCGCGCGCGTCACGCGAGCCCCACAAGGCCATTGTGGCAATGGAATCCATGCTCGTGGGGCACGTTTCGCGGCGGGGGGGAATGCTCAGGCAGTCAGAGTTATTTTTGTTGCTAGCCGTGACGGAGGGCACGAGGCCCAGCAAAGAGAGGATACGGGCTTCAGGCCGCATTCTTATCGGTTATTGGTGTATTGGGTTGGGTGACTGTATGGTAAAGTGGCTATGTGTGGCAGAGTGAGATGGAATGTTTGGGGATCTTGGCTGATGTTTCTTGTGAGGTAAAATGGAGGGCGATCTGAGCATTGGGGGCAGGATAATTGTCATATTGCCATTTGTAGCCTGTTATCTCCGAAAGGGGCTCGTCAAGATACCTGGAGACCCATGTTTGAGCTGGTTCTCAGATGTTCGGAACCTCTGATGAGAGTTTTAGTTTGTCAGTATTATCAGGTTGACTGTTCCCAGCGACCATCTCGGTCATGAACTGTGACAAGCGGCACCAAATTCTTTGATGAGGTGGATTCGGATTTTCGGAATGACAGCGGTAATGTTCCCATAGCCCTACTAATGATTTGTTTCATGGCAGCATGCAAGGTTCTGGCACATTGTTGCGTTGCTAGCTGGGTTATCTAAATCTTTGAAGTAACAAAGTATCTGAATGCAAGCCGACTGGGCAGGATCGCGGTGACTATATTACTTTGAGGCGGTCGCAATGAGGTACCTAGTGCCCTCTTTAGTATATACTCTGCTTCAATTGGGCTCGTCCTGAGTTCATATAGTGCAAGGCAACAAACAACATCGTTACGGTGATCTGAGAGATGTGTCCAACGAAAATCTTTTGAGAACACACCGGTAGGGCCCTGGCCAAAGGATTTGCGTTGAAAGGATGTCGGTATGTATAACTTCGTCTAGATATTGGATGGATTGGAATCATTTACTTTGCGGATTTTCTGTGCGGTACTTGGATGGACGAGTGCAGAGGTACTGACTGGTGCTGCTTGCGGCGGTGCGTAGCGAGCTAAAATCTGGCGCGTTCCACGCCAAGTATGGGTTGTAAGTACTGTGATGTCTCTTTCGTCTAATATGGCCCAGATAGTGGTTGACGGGGCAATATCGCTAGAAGTCACGGTGTCACTTTGATCCTCCAATGGTCTCTTTTGTGATGCCACAGGTATTAGGTGCGGTAGATAGATAAGACAAGGACGACATGGCATTTATAGGGAGTCGAATGGAAACCATGATATGGCTCACCCTCAGCCCCAGCAGACTCAAGCCAGCTCACCCACAGCTTAAATTAGAATAGGAACAGTTCAGTTTCGAAGGTCGAGTGGGAAATGTCCAATTGGTCTCGGGTTTATCTAGTTTTAGTACCATGAGGAGATTTCAACTGATAAGTGAGGCTGTATGGCAAGATTCTATTGATGGCTAAGAACATTCAGGAATCGATCGTCACTAGCCGTCATGGCGTTTAATTCGGGTGGATCCCCCCTAAGTTGTTCAAACTAAGTGAGTGGATGACCCTCCCTTACGGGCCGCAAGTGCCAGTTTGACGGCAGCGCGAATGACATGTCGCTCATGAATCAATGACGCATATCTCCAAAGCTTTCCTATTTTTTTTCTATTTTTTTCTTTGTTTCTCTCTTTAAAGATGTATACAAAGCACTTAAACAACTGGTGGTGTTTTCCGCTCAAACCCCGCTTATGACATGAGTCCTTAAACTCCAACGATAATGTGGATACATGCAAAGACAAGGTCGATGAACAGCTTTCCTACTTGTATGTTATCTGACTATTCGAGTCAGGATCCATAGTCGGCAACTAATATCCTGGCGGACAAGGCTTAGACACTCTACATTATAGAGAGCGAGCAACCCAAGACGAAACTGATCCAATCAAACTTCTCCAAGGTACTATCAACTCTCGGTTCAATCCGATTTTGAGTTACTCGTAGAGTCAGAGTCAGAGTGTTCTCTTCGTCTCAATACACCCCACTCCGCAAATATACGTTCTTCGAGGTATCTCCACAAACATCCAGCAATGTGTTCCACTCGGAGCAAAAATTATGTAACGTTCAAGTCCGATATGGTGTAGTGGCCAACATGATGCCCTCTCATCTGTTTGAGAGGTTAGGCATAGCCCCGAGTTCGATTCTCGGTTTCGGAAAACCAACTTTTGCAATGCCTTGACATTTTGTTGCATGTGCTTGACGTGTGAATTAGCTGATTCTAGTTGTGTTCAGGTCTTGCATGTATTTGCGGCACATGCCGAAGAAACAGTCATAGATAGGATAACAGTGCCGTCGTCTACGTTCAGACGGCAAACTCCACACTGAGACACGACTCCAGAATCTCTCTGCCTTTCTACCGCCAACTCGGGCTGAACTTTAATTCACTACCACAGGCCACAGCGGTATTGTGTAGCTCTTCTCCGCACATGACGTAGGTAGGTAGGAAAACCCCCCACAGAATCAGAACTATGAACGCTATGATGCGGAGCCGAGGCACGTCCCAAACACTTGTTCGCATTCCCCTTTGCGGAGTATCCCATCAACACGATATCTTTCATCATCCCACAAGTCTGCATCTCGCTCAGATTCATCAGAAAAACTTTGATAGGGTCTGCAAACATTGTACTGAAGTCAAATATCATCCGGTTTTTAATTGATAATCTCAGGTTCTAGCTGGGGTCTCGATCATTTTCTCCCATACTCAGTAGCTAATCACTGACTGTATATTCAGGCAAAGTTCACGATACACGATGGCGGCATTGATGTCCGTTCTGGTAGCTGGTCTCGCCATTTTCGGAGGCTATACGTATGGCCCAGTCGCCAAACGTATGGCCACGCTTATCGGCTTCGGACGAGAGGCTGTCAACACCCCAGTTCTGCATGGTGGAGACTTTATTGCCATTGAAGATACGGTTCATTGCGAAGACATTCATCACCATGTTCCAAGCGGGTTTCTATTCACTGCCTGCGAGGACGATGAAACGACCCGTGCCTTGTGGTTCCCCGGCTTAGGCCACCTTGATGATCCGGTTAAAGGCAGTAAACAAAAAGGGTCCATTCACGTCATTGATCCTAAGGTATGAGATTCGTGCAGTAAACCCTCGATCCAATGATAGGACAGCTGACGTGGATAGGATATGACTCAAAAACGTCTTCGATTTGAGAACTTTGACAGCACTTTCGTCACTCACGGTATCGATGTTATCTCGGACCCTCAAAAGCCGGAAGCAGTCTACATCTTTGCCATCAGTCATGTACCGCATCCCGAGTACCTAGCCACTAAGATTGGTGGTCAGGACAAGCAGAAAGTCGTTCAGAAGTCCCTGTCTCGCGTCGAGATTTTCCATCACATCTTGGGGTCATCCACTGTCAAGCATGTGCGCACTGTCATTCACCCGTTGATAAAGAATCCGAACGATATCGTTGCTGAGGATCCGTACTCATTCTATGTCACGAATGACCACTATAACTCCGAAGGTATCGGAAGATTGATTGAGGATCTATTACCTATCACATCGTGGACCACTACCATCCACGTCCGCGTTGAGGAGATGTCCGCCCTTCTCCCCACCGATGGAATCAAAGCGGCGGTGGCTCTATCGGGGCTTCGAAACAACAACGGTTTGGGTCATGGTCGAAAGCCTGGAGAGATTATTGTCGATAATTGTGCCGCTGGGGAGATCCACCTCGGCCAGCCCTCCTCGGACCCGAAAAATACCAGCATCAGCTTTACGGAAACCATCAAAGTGGACAGCTACATCGACAATCCTTCTTGGTTTGAGGACCCTTACCGATCCGAAATTGTAGATGCCAGTGGCTTCGTTCTTGCGGGCGTGTCGCGGCCGATTGAGGTTCTGAAGCGGGCTAAAGAAGCAAAGCCCCAAATCGGTTCGATCGTGTGGTACGTTAAGCCGAACGCGGGAGTCACAGGTGGCTATGAGAAACGAGTCTTGTTCGAAGATGATGGGACAAGAATAAGCTCGGCTGCAACTGCGGTCTTGGTAGCTATTGACCCGAGTCAAGAGAAGGGTAAGAGGAAGGCATGGCTCTTCATCACAGGTTTCTTGTCTAGCAGTGTCGTTGCCGTCAAAGTGGACCTCTGAAGGCATGATGGGCGATATGTCAAAGGTTTTCGACGCAAAACATAAAAAGTCAGTGAGGTCGAAATATATGGTCGAACGACAATTGTCTTTCAAAGCTCAAATCTGAGCGACTACCTGCTTGCAGTCTGTGGCCATGTCAGGACCCAAAGGAGGATATTTATTTATGGCCCGAGAGCCAATTGTCAGAAGACGACGAGTGTTGCTAAAATGGCATGAGTCAACTTGAATTTATGTAGCCAACCTACTTTTTGTTTCTTTGCAGCATTTACTGTGTCGAACATGTCACATTTGCTCTTACAGATAATCATCTCGCTGTCAAGACGCCAAGAGAATGGAATCATTGACGTCTCATAGAATAAGAGTCTCCAGCTCGGTAGACATCCTGGATGAACCTATCTGCATCGCTGATTATCCTGATGGCCTGGTTGATGCTCGGTGATGTAGGCTCACCCATGACTCCCTGCCAGCCCTGCAAGAGTTGCCTCAAGTGGTCACCAGCGCCGAGAACTTCAGGTCCGATCATGTCCTTAAGCGCGGGGATGCGGCAGGCAGCAAGCAGAACAAGCATTGCGCCAGCCATACTACCAGGAGTAAGTCAGTACGCGACACACAAGTCCGCTGTTGAAGATTCGTCACTTACGATAGCGAGCAAATCCATGTATCAACCAAGACCGTCTGACCAAAGCCCCTCAGGTTGAGAATATGCAGCAAGCACGCATCCAAGCAAGATTTGCAGTGTTTCAGAGCATCCTGACTGACAATAAGTTCAGAGCTAGCCCCATTGCCACCCGCCATACCACTCAGCATCCACATGAGATATGGCCGATAGATGACGCTCCTGCAGGTGAGATATCTCTGCCGTAGGAAACCGCCATGTTCTGTAGCTGTGCTCTGACTGTTGTTGAGCTCATTGAACCCGACGCTGAAGGCAAAGGCTGCAGGGAGAACCTCGCGCCATTCATCGAGCTGGTGGTTGAGCTCGGCAACGACGTAGGGAAATCGTGCGTGGTCAAGAGCGGCGCCGGTGCCACGGGCGTAGAGGAGTTGATGAACACGATTTAGGAGTCGGCGCATCGATATACAAGCGAGAAAGTACATGGAGGACTGCTCTTCAACTTGAGGGTCTTGGTGGGTATTGTACTCTCCTGGAAGAGGAGTTGATGACTCAATGCGTGCAATACCAGATTGGGGAAGTCCAGAGAGCTCAGCGAGATAATCACTTGAGAAGTATTAGTTGAAAATTCTCTGCGATACTCTGATGCAAGGGACTTTTTTTTTTTTACCTCTCAAGAATGTAGCAAGACCAGAAAATCCTGCGAATCCTTTCCTGGTCTTCCGCAGACTCAGACTCGGGTGTGTAGGAAAGCAACAGTAGGCATTTAGCAGACGCCGCGTTGATGTACTCCCATGCTTGTAACGGCCGCCGGAGGAAGGCAAAGTACATTCTACAAATTGAGTCAGCGGGGTTGTTTACTCGGAATAGTACCTCACTTACGCCGTGAAGAACAAGCAGTGAGTGGCGGTGCTCCCCACATTGGTGTGAACAACATGGAGCTTCTTCAGCACGCTGTCAAAGTACATGTCGCCCATGGCCTTCCTTGCCGCTTTGCGCTTTCTTTCCTCCTCACTCGGCGCTGCTTCGCTCGTCAACCCTGCGGTGACTTGACCGACGCACCCCAAAGCCATGGTCAAAAGCGCCAAACACACGAGGATGCTATCTTCCTCGGGGATGCCGTCTGATATGAGATTACGGACCTGGTCAAGCTGATCGCGAGACATGGTCGGATACCAAAAGTTGATGGTGTGCTCGAACGACTCGATGATACCCTCAACATCCTCCGATGTCACATACGGATACATGCTCGTTGACCGCGTCTTCACTGCCGGCCGCGACTGTTCTAAGTGAAAGATGGAAACATACCCGTCCCGCATGGTCGAATAAGCATCGAAGTGAGGCCATTGCAGAACCGACTCGGTGGTGCTCGTATGCATGGAATCAAGCACGGCATTTTCAAAATTATTCTGGTACTGCGTCTCAGAGATGGGCGTGCGTTGCGGATGGTGAACCTCGTTGAGCGGAGATCCGGAGAAGGATCCCCGCGAGGCGGACCGGAGAGCCGGAGATACCACGGACGGACGGTGCTCGGCATAGGGCGGTGCCCCCTTGAAGGCTCCGTCGTGAGACGAGTTTGGTGAGAAGTGGAATGCGGAGGAAGCGGGACTGACGATGGTGGCCTTCATTTCGTGGAGGAACTTCTCCACCCTCAGTACGCCCTCGAGGATGAGGTCGCTCTTCCCGCGCCTGATGACGTACAGCACATGAACAGTCAGACTCATGTTTCTTCTCCTTCTTGTTGCTCCTCCAAGGGGTCAGGATTCGGTGATACGCCGGGGATCACGGCGCCGTGGGGTAGCCAGATAGAACTTACGAGTTAGCCTCGGATCCATAGGTGCATTCCTGATGCGATGCAGAGCAGGATGCGCAGGGCGTGTTGCCATTGCATCTGCGCAGGGCGTTCCGTTAATCTTCACACGGTCCCGAGGGTCTGGGACAGCCTGGTCCTAGTCGTCTTGGTCGCACGTACCTGATCTTCCTGGCTCGGCATGTATCGCACTGTGAAGTCGCGACGTCAGCACATGTAAGATTCTTGGTGTTCGGCTAGGTTGCCGCCAGGGCAAGCCCTGTGGCATTTCAGTGAGGCATGAGGTGCTGACGCTCCACTGATGGAAGATCTGCACAGAACCGATGTTGGAGAGCGATTGAGCGCGGGGCCAGCCAAGGCTCAACGGGCCATCGTGAAAGATGCCATTGGTGATGTTCCGGTACCTAAGTCGGCGACATGAGATACCTCCAGTTACCCAAACAGTGATGCGCGGCGGCCTGATGCGCAGTTGCAAGACCCAGGGAAGCGTGGCTTGCTCAAAGAACCATAAAACGCAGTTCACTTACAGCATGGCTTGTCCTCAACCTCTTCCTGGACGGCTCATTGATCGTGTCACTGTCCATCGTCTCCATTGAAGCCGCTGGGTGGCATGGCGTAGCAGCAGCCCAGTTCCGCAGTGGAGTGAACTTTCGATCCGAAGCGGACCGAGGTGCGAGAGGGGAAATGCAGAGCTTGTGGCCTGTGGGAGAGAGGAGAAAAAAGACGGACAGACGCACAAGGGGGGCAAATGAAGAATCCTGGCAGAAGGACATGCATATATGCACCCACGTGTGGTGCGGGGGAGGATTCGATGCTGTGGAGAAGGAGGGTGGGTAAGAAGAATTGGAGAAACAGCACGGGCTTGGCCTAAAAGGGATTTTGGGGGGGGGGGAGACGGTTGGAAATTAGTCTCGGTTCAAGGATCTTGACCTTCAATGGTTCGCTCCGCGCAGCCCCGGACGGATCGATGTGGTGGGGAAACCGCTCCGTCGCCGGGGACATGAACGGGCATATCTCCATTCATGGCATCGCCGGCGTCAATACTTGGACGGTTTGGAGAAGCACGTGCGAAAGGACTGACCGCAGCGCCGGAAGGCATTTTCGGCGGGTGGGATATAAACCGACATCCCTCTTTAGCCACTTGAGACGTTAGGGGACTGGCTCTGTTGTTCACATTAGTCTGGTCACAGGGTGCAGCAAGATCGTGCCGCTCCAATCAACACAGTCACTGCCATGCTACCTAAGCCCCCATCTGCCTTCGCCAGGCATGCCTGAAATGCTGCCTCGGCTGATATCTCACGTTCCGTTCACGAAGAGGCATTTGTGGAAGGTATGGATGGAAGTTCATAACAGTCGCTTGCTTTGGAGATTATTGCGATAGTGCAAACGAAGGCAAGATCCGGCGATTGACCTGTCACATGGCCCAGTCCCGCCATGATTTTTGCCTATTACGGCTTGATACTGGAGCATATCTAGACGGTCCATTTCTCGTCCTGACTGACCTGCATTGTCTTCAAAACAGTCTCGGCCGATCGGGGCTCCAAGCTCTTCTTAACAGGGTTTGGTGCGCTGAACACCTCCTCCAACTCCTCAAGGGTACGGTCCTTGGTCTCGGGGAAATAAAAGTACTTCGATTATGTTAGCATGTCACCCACGCACAGGAAAATTGACTGGAAACTTACGATAATGACAGCCTCGAGGAGGTCCCAGAAGATAAAGACAATGTAGAAGTAGTACTTAATGTTGAGGAAGGCCGGTCCACTGGCGTATTGGATGATGGTGCTTCCCACAGCGCTGGCAAAGTTGCCGACAGCGGTACCCTTGGCACGGGTGGCGGTGTTGAGGGTCTCGGCGATGTACATGCTTTGAAGAGGAGTCCACCCAAAGCTGAAGACGATGCCGAAGATGTAGATGAATGCAATGGTGGTGTTGGCAGCAGCAACATTGCTAGCGTCATCCGTAGCCAGCTTCGAGGTTCCGGTGATGATGGCAAAACAGAAGGAGCAAAAAATAATGGAGTAGATCAAAAGCGGTCTGCGACCAACGACATCCGTCATGCGGGCGCCAGCGAGGGAGGCCCCGAAGCACAAAATGGGGTTGATTGCATTGAGAGCCAGAACGCGCTTCTCATCGGTGATTCCGGCGTTTTTCAGCAGAGCAGTCATGTAGTAACTGCTGAGCGAGTTTCCACTGACCTGGCCAAAGACAGCCATTCCGAGAACGCAGATCAGTCTGCGGCGGGCAGAGTGGGTGTTCCAGAGCTCGCGGTAGTCCCACCACGACTTATCCGAAGCGTCAATGCTGATTTGGGATACCATTTCCTTCAACTGGAGCTGGACAATGGGATGATCGATGGAGCCTTCTCCATGGTATTTGGCGAGGACGCGAGCGGCTTCATCATGCTTGTCATTGGCCATGAGCCACCGAGGGGACTCAGGAATGAAGAATACACCGATGCAAACGATACCAGATGTGACCCTAGACGCCGGGTAAGGTCAGCATCCATAGCAACAGAAAGTGGTGAAAATAAGACATGGAAAACCTACATCTGCAGCCAGATGGGTAGCCGCCAGCCATCAATACTATCGATATAAGAGCAGCCGTAAACGACCCATGACGCAATAATACTCCCAATGTACCATGTGCAGTTGTAAACACCGGTGATGGTGCCTCTCCACGCCGGGTGCGCCATCTCTGAGACCTAAGAAACGCGACGGGTCAGTTTCGTTATTCTTGGAATTTGAAGACCGAACGACTTACGTAAGTCGGGGCTGAGACACAGCAGAAACTGACGCCAAATCCTAGAACGAATCGCCCGGCAAGGAACTGCTCAGAACTAAGAAGGAGTAAGTCGATTGTCAGGTGACGCCTTGATAGGATTCTAACCTCTTCGTCGGAGCCTGAATACAAGTGCCAATGATGACAATCGTAGCGCCGATGAACATACCCCACCGGCGTCCAAGGTAGTCGTTTGCAGGTCCAGTGAAGAAAACGGCGGCAACACTTCCGATGTTGTACATGGCGAAGATGATACCAGTACTCTCGTCAACCGTTTCCCTTTTAATTACATTAGTTCCCTGACGTTCAACCGCATAACTACGCTTACTCACTTGTTGAAGTATTTCATATAAGAATCCATCCCGTTGAGACCTCCCATCTACAGTGGCCCCACGTTAGTAAGTGGAAGGCACAAGGTGATGGACATCTCTACTGACCAGAGACCCATCATATCCGTTGAGCGCTCCATTGAGATAGGCTGGGAGATGAATTTTAGCATCCATCAAAATGTTCAGAGTCCGCAGTAGGTACCAATCGATAAAACGGCGTAAAGCCGGAACATGGACGGCGTCCATGGCGAGTAGGAGCCTTCTTGGGTATCATGAGCAATCTGAACGGCTGTGTCGACCTCCGGAGCATCAACACGACGCTCCTCAGCGTGATCGCCGACAGCAGGTTCTGACTTCTCAGTGGACATGTCGTACGAGAGCTGCACACAAAGCACGACGGCTCGAACCAAGGTGGATCAAGGGTTCAGGAACGGTGGAACGTTGGAACGGTGGAGAGATCGAAGCCTTGGATGGGTTCCATCGATGGAGACGAAAGACTGGAGAGGTGCTAACGCGGCCCTTTTAAATGCTGTGACTGCAGAACTCCCGGCGCATCACCAGACGAGCTATCCCCCGCATTCGGGCCATCAGAACACCCAAACCGGCGGCACATAATGTAGTGAACGACGAAGAAACCTGGGGTGACACGACCAGTTGGTCAATTCTGAGCCAACGACACGGGCTCGCTTGCAGTTTTCAGCCAACACTAACAAGGGTCCAGACATGTTTAATCTGGGGTAACAGACACAAAAAGCTTTCCGCCTTTCCAAGAGGGGCGCGTCGACTGATGTGTGAATTTGGAAGGCAGGGAACAGACTGGTTAAGCATGTCAGACGTTACATCGGCCTCAACTCGGATTGAGGTGCGGGGCCGGCCCCGACTTCCCCGGGCCCAATCAGAACCACATAGCCTCGGCCGAGCCTAATCCACTTTTATCGCTGTGGGTGCGGAGTTGCTGCGACTTGAAGTGAATGATAGCAGGGATCATGTCGGGGTCGCCCTACACCGATAGCACCTGACTCGAAGCTACCCCGAGGAAACTCCAGTGTTTGCCCCACGTTGGCTCGTCATATTGCGGGACAACTTGGGTTCACGAGAAAATGAAAGGCAGCTCGCAGATGGGATTGTCTGGCGTTTGCCTCGGTGTTGCACCCGACACGTTACTTTGCGTGGAGCATTGAGCGCAAATAAATAACGACTAGACCTTGGTAGTTAATTAGCTGTCTGCTCAACTCAATTTCTCTGCTTCTCTCTCTTTTTCCCCCTCCTCAACCCCAACTCGTGTCTCAGTTCATTGTTTCCCCTCTTCCGTACCGTCACGATGGCCCCTCAAAGCTTACCCCTCCAGGCAAAGGAGGGAGTTCACGATTATGAGAACCCCTCCGTCTTCCGACGTAACACTCTGCCTGCACGATCATACTTCATTCCTGAGACGTCGCTGCTGCTCAATGGCGTTTGGGACTTCCACATGGCCGGCACTCCTGAGGAGGCGCCTTTGCCGGAAGATAAGGGCGACGAATGGGGCACCATCAACGTTCCTGGTCACTGGCAGCTTCAGGGACACGGATACCCGTGGTACACCAACACTCAGTTCCCCATTCCCGTGAGTCCGCCGTACGTTCCCAGCGAAAACCCTACGGGTACCTACAAACGCACATTCTACGTCCCCTCGACGTGGGACGAGATGTCGCAATTGCGCCTGAGGTTCGACGGCGTCGACTCCGCCTACCACATCTGGGTCAATGGCGTGCTTATTGGCTTCGCACAAGGATCGCGAAACGCCTCCGAGTTTGACGTAACAAGCATCTTAAAGAAGGACGGTCCAAATGAGCTCTTTGTCAGAGTTTACCAGTGGTCTGACGCAACCTACATTGAAGACCAGGACCAATGGTGGCTCTCTGGTGAGTGATAATCGCGACGTCCGGCCGCTAGGCATCTTTTTTTTAAACCCCTTCAACGCAGGTATCTTCCGCGACGTCACGCTCCTTGCTGTCCCGAGGCCACCAGAATCGAGGACTGGTTCCTCCGCACCGATCTGGACGACAAGTACGAAGACGCAACCCTCCTCGCGACTGTCGACGTCAAGACTGCCGAAAAAGGCACTGTCAAGCTTACTCTCAGTGAGCTGGGCAAGAACGGCGGCGCCGTCATCGCTACCAAGGAGGCGGAGGTTAGCGCCAGTGACACAAAGGTCGACCTCAGTATCCCCGTAACAAACCCCAATAAATGGACCGCCGAGACCCCCTACCTCTATCGTGTTGACATCACCCTCGGCTCCCACTCTGTTTACCAGAATATCGGCTTCCGCAAAGTCGAGCTCAAGAACGGCCTCATCTCCGTCAACGGTGTGCCTATCCGCATCAGAGGTGTGAACAGACATGAGCACCACGCTCACTTCGGCCGTGCCGTCCCTCTCGAGTATGCCAAGCGTGACCTCCTCATCATGAAGAACCACAACATCAACTCTCTGCGATGCTCACACTACCCTCCCCACCCCCGTGTTTTCGAGCTCGCCGACGAGCTCGGTTTGTGGGTCATGGATGAGGCCGACCTTGAGTGCCACGGCTTCTACGACGCCATCGCCCGGCCGCAAGATGTCGACGAGGCGGCGGATTACGAAGAGCGTAAGGCCGTGACCTTCCCTTTAGCCGGCAAATACACCAGCGAGAACCCCGAGTGGCGCGAAGCCTACCTTGACCGTATGGTTCAGCTGGTTCAGCGTGACAAGAACCACACGAGTATCATCATGTGGTCGCTCGGTAACGAGGCTTTCTACGGGGAGAACCACAAGGCCATGTACGAATATGCCAGGAAGTTCGACTCTGGCCGCCCAATTCACTACGAGGGCGACGTCAAGGCCGAGACTGCGGACATGTACTCTTACATGTACCCTCCTATTGACCGCTTGAGCAAGCTGGTAGAGACAGAGGGTGTCAAGGAGGACGGCAGCTTCGACAAACCCGTTATTCTCTGCGAGTACGGTCACGCCATGGGTAACGGCCCGGGTGGTCTCGACGACTACATCGAAGTCTTTGAGAAGTACCCCCGTCTTCAGGGCGGTTACATCTGGGAGTGGGCAAACCACGGCATCTGGAAGGAAGAAGCCGATGGCAAGGGCTACTACGCTTATGGTGGAGACTTTGGCGAGCGTCCTCATGATGGCACCTTTGTCATGGATGGTCTCCTTCACAGCACCCATGACCCTACACCTGGCTTGATCGAGCTCAAGAAGGCCTATCAGCCTCTCCAGCTGTCCGTCGAGGGCAATCAGCTGGTGATCAAGAACAAGTATGACTTTGTCGGTGTCGACCACCTAACTTCCACCTACAAGGTTGAGGAGCTGGGCGAGAAGTGAGTTTCCCTATCTTTGAAACGCTTTTAGTGAAAGATATGCTGACAATGACCGAAACAGCTCCGCTCTTCTTGCCGCCGGTAACCTCGAGATCCCGAAGATCGCCGCCGGCGAAACAGTCAAGGTCGACCTTCCCTCAAGCCTCACAAACATCAAGTCGGACAAGGAGGTCTACATCACCGTGACCTTCGGCCTCAAGGACTCTACCAACTGGGCCGAGCCTGCTCACGAGATTGCGTGGATCCAGCACAAGCTCTCTGGTTCGGCCGCTGCTCCCAAGCTGACCAATAGCACCCTTACCTCTAAGCTGCAGGTAGAGAAGTCCCGCGCCAAGGCCACCATTTCCGGCTCCGATTTCGCTGTCACTTTCGACACTGCCCGTGGTTACATTACCTCCTGGATTGCTGCCGGCGTTCCTCTTCTTGAGAAGGATGTCTCCACTGGCGCTGCCATTGTCCCCAACTTCTGGCGTGCCCCTACTGACAATGACAACCCTAACGATGCGCCGTACTGGATTCGCTTCGGTGTTGATGCCTTCGACAGCCAGCTCCGATCGCTCAAGATCAACGAGTTGGCCGACAAGGTTGAGGTCATTACCAACACCTACTTGTCTCCTCGTGTTCTCGACTGGGGATGGGAAACCACCACCACGTACACCATTGATGCCACTGGTCGGCTCACGATCGCCGTTGATCTGAAGCCTCGTGGCATCAAGCCCACACACATCCCCCGTGTGGGCTTGAACCTGCGTCTTCCCAAGTCGCTTAACAACGTCAAGTACCTCGCCCTCGGCCCCGGCGAGTCCTACCCGGATAAGAAGTCCAGCCAGCACCTTGGCGTCTTTAGCGCCACTGTGCCGGAGCTGCACCAGCACTATGAAGTTCCCCAAGAGGGCGGCAACCACTTGGAAACCCGCTACGTCAAGCTTACCGAGGACCACGGCCGTGGTCTTCGTGCCACGCCGGCGGATGCTGCTGTCTGGTCTGAGGAAGAGTGGCGTCAGTTCAGCTTCCAGGTCAGTCGGTACACTTCTGATACGGTGCACAAGGCCGCGCACCCGTGTGACCTCGTTGAGGAGGATGCGACACTACTCCGTCTAGATGCTCGTGTTGCCGGTGTTGGCACAGCCGCTTGCGGTCCCAACGTCCGTGAGGACCTGAAGGTGCATGTCGGAGAGTTCAAGTTTGGGTTTGTGCTTGAGAGAGTTGGGTTTTAAGGATTGAAACGCAACGAGTATGGAGCTACAAGGGCCGATAAGAAAGGCAAGAATTACGAATAACTAGAACTGGAAATGGCATGAATGATTATGACCCTCGCGTTTGATACTACCTAGTATGTTGAATGGAGTGAACATGCAGAGTATTGATTTAGACTCCGACTTGTGGAATCTGCTGGGAGTGGAAACGATCTATAGTCGATGACATGGATAGATCAATCACAATCGGCCGGTTGGCCCAATGGCAAGGCGTCTGACTACGATTAATCGTGACATCAGGAGATTCTGGGTTCGACCCCCAGGCTGGTCAAAGTTTTTGTGATTTTTGCAAAAGTCTGGAAACTGCTTTAGAACTAAATGTTTTTCCGAATCCGGATCAGCTGGCCAGGCTTTTCTTTCGCTTTGCCCTTCTGTGGTTTCTTTTTTCGTACTCGTTCTACTTATGGCACAATGAACAGGCAACAGTTCAAACCTGCTAACATATAGTCTACAGTTTTGAATTTCAGGCATGTCTCTATTATTAGTCAGGAATGGCAAATTTGTTTAGTTATAAATCAGTTGATAAGACAGACACCCGTCTACTTTAGCAACGCATCAACCTTGCTCGAGATGTCTCTGAGCATGAAGTTGGACCTGTTACCGGCCATCGTTGGGTTGACAGTGTTGTCGTAGAAGAGTATACTCGAATAAATCCTGCCCATAATTTCTCTAACATCAACCTGACTTATAGCTGGTGCGAACCCATCAAAGTCGTTACGGCCATCGATTAGTCCATGATACTCAGCCGTTTGCCAACTATCAGCAGTACTCCAAACAGACACTCCGGTGATATTCTGTGCCACATTGGATTCTGTCTGTAACAAAACATTCCCTCTGTACTTTTGCGGCAGGCGAAGCGATGTTCCGGCACTGAAATTGTGATATGTAGTCTGTGGAATGACTACTGGTGTCGCTATGTTGTGGGTACCAAGATCGAACTTGACTAGCTGGTGATGCGGGTTGTCGTTTGTGATAAGGAGGTGCCCATACCGTGCTAGTCCACCGAAGCCATATGTCCGAGGGGGTGTTGTCGGCTTCGATACGAAGTAAGGCGAGACCTTATTATCGTTGCTAATTCGCAAAATACTTGCTGGATAAGCCCCATTAACGAATATATCATCATCAAGCCCAGGCTCTATATCAAGAAACCCTCCGTATTGACCCCGAGTAGTATCCGTAAGATTGACTTCAGACAGGATACTTTTCTTGTTCAGGTCGTAGCGGATAACGAAATTATCGCCACTGACGTCGTTACCTCCGGTCAAGAAGAACTCATCCGCTTGAATAATAACTGTCAGGACGCTGCTAGCGACATCTAAGGATATCCCTGGTAGTCGCTTATCAGATTTTTCCAAGCCAGAATGGCTCATACCAGGAAACTTGATAATCTCCAAGAGCTCTGACTTGTAGGGATCCAAGACGGCCACCGTAGCGTTGAAGATAGAACTGGTAATTAAGGATGTCGATTAGCTCTGCATCAACTATTCACTACCATATAGGCCGTTTACCTGGCATAGATGAGGCATCGCGTAGAGTCCCACACAAAGTAAGCAGGGTATAACTGAAACACGTTGTCAAACTGGATATCCCCCTTGAGAGGAGGGCAGGCAATAGCAGCGCTAAAACCTGAACAAAGCGCCAAGAGCAAGAGGAAGAACATCTTCGTACTTAGGACATTTAAGATTATATGCTGGTATACAATAATAAATCCCCACAGACAAAGGCATGAATTCCAACAGCAGGCGGGCTTATGGGACAATGCGGTTGCTTATGTATGTTCTTGGGCCGCACATTCGGCCGCGGATCATTCGGCAAACTCAATTCATCTATTTATTAAGCGACGCACAAGCAATATCCATGAAGATGTGAGCATTAGGGCCACATCTGAAAACATTGGGTCGAATCAGACTATCAGGGCCAATACCTGATAATACTTATTCTATATGGACAGAATAAATACTCGGCATTGATCTAGGTTGGTTCTAAAATCAACGTAGACTCTAAAGGCTTTTGTAATGCCAACTGGGTTTCGTATTTTTGTAATGCCGTATTTGTAGCTCATGGATGAATTCAACCCCTTTAGACACAATAATGTCACTGAAGTGATCAGGTAAGAATGTGTCATTACTCACTAGATTCATCAGTCATAGATCCGAGTGCATTCTCGCTGACCAGAAGATCAAAATGTTCCAGACTCCCCATGCGGACGCCGAGTGATAGCGTTAGTACGATAGTGTTTGTGGCTTAATATGCGAGTGACGGTCACCCTTCGGCCTCGGTCTTTTACACCGTCACCGAAACTTAACTATGATTTTGGGCCGAACTGTATTCTCTTCGAGCCAAAAACCTTGATAGTTGTGTTATATACCCACTGGTAGGTGGCCGAGCTCTTCTCTAGATGCCCTTTAGGCCCGCTTAGCTCTCTTATTAGGGGCTTAGCACGATTCTGACGCTGAGAGCAATATATTTAACTTTCCTAACTACATAATGCTGATAACTCAACTATTTTACTCGAGTCTATGAATCTATTCGGAAGTCACGCAACGTGTGCGCTCGCAGATATGAGAGCCTGAAAATATAAAATTGAGCACAGTAGCACAGCGATCTAGTTGTGGATTGACCCGCATATCACGCGTGACTTCTGGACTGGTTTCATACTGGAAGATAGGAAAGGCATGTTAAAGACAAAATTAATACCGAGGTAGCGGTACGATCTAGACAATCTCGGATACCTTGGAAGGCTTCAGAAGGCATATGGGTTGTGAAGAGTTGAACGAAGCCAGACAGACGGCTTCGGCCATGCCGAGCCTACCGGCTATCTGTCAGCTGGTGAAGCTGAGGAATCATCCCAGCCATCCGGGGAAGGCTCCTGTGTACGTCACTGTGCCCACAAAATTTACAAGCTAGAAGCCCAAATTTTAATTTCCCTTCCTTCTCCACCTTTAAACAGTCATTCAAGGGGCTTCTCATCTTCCAATGTTGGGACTAGGCCCACGACTTGGAAGCGAGGTCGTGATTGGCTGACGACCCCCTGCACTAGTCGGAGTATTCGGAAAACTTGAAAATTCCCTATGTAATTGAATCTTGCAAATGAATGACATGTCCGTGCCGTGCTACCGGCTCAATGTTGCTAGAGACCATAGGCTATCAACATGACTCTCTGGTCAATACTGTTTTCTCTGAAGTGTTGTGTCGTAGAGTCACCACTTAGGGTGGAAAAGACATAAGGAAAACGGCTTAGATTTCTACGTGCAGGATTGCCTTGTCCGAAACGAATAAATACGTATCCTGCGTGGTGGATCCGCACGAAGGGACCGGACTAATAGTTAATCCGGGCCCGGCGCAAATCTCACAAGGCTGCGCGATGCGCGTGAGGGCATCGCGACATGTTGGAAATGGGCTGCCGCCAAACGGGAAGCTTTGACACAGGCTTGCAGAAGTAGCTGGAGTAATGTTGAGTGTTAACTACTTAATCCAGGCTCCAAACAAACCCTCAATGCAGGTGATAAATGCAGGCCGCCAGGGAAGAGGACAGAGCATGGTTAACGATGCGATTGGTTAGTTGAAGATCTTGTAATAAGACATTAGATGCCACTAGTGTTAGAGAAATTGCCGATTATCCGAGCCTGTCGGCCTTTACATCTAAGCTTTAACCCCCTCAGTTGCCTGCATCGCGTCCCAATAGAAATAAGGTGTGAAGCTGCACACATCGGTTTAAGTACATTCCTTTTAAGACGGCTGTAGCTGTTTCTCGTGACTTCTGCCATTGCTATCTTTCAAGTTTAATTAGAAACCAATACTCTCATTTGACAATTGAGGTTAAGAGGAAAACAATGCGCATCGCAAATTTCTCTCTTTACAGGTGGAGCGTGAAAGAATTATATAGAAATATGTTTGAATATCGCCCGTGATTTCTGATATATTTGACATCTTTGTCAGAAAACGAGACTAGGTCGATAGCATACTGATTCAATCCGATCGATGGCCTGGCTGTTTGGATCTTAATTGATAGGTTCTTCATAATTGAGGTTTCGAACCCAGTTCTTCCTAAGAGCCTGATCGATGACTGCGTTATAAGTGCGGTAACGGCCGTACCATAGTAAAAAAATACCTCAGGTTGAAATTAAGTAGAGTTTCCTGTATTATTAAGGCTTAAATTAGGTAATGTATTGCCGTTATCCCTGTAGAGGTTATTATCCTCACCGCTTTCCCCTTTCTCTAGGCTAAATAAGCTTTATTTCCCCTCACTTCCATCTATATCATTATTTCTTATTAGATTACTACAAATAATTACTATAATTACCTATACCTTTATAATAAGTAACTAGTAAAGCAAAGAAGGGCTTTCTATTAATATAAAGGGCTCTATTATTATTTAACTAATTACCTTAGCCTCTATTACTAATAAATAAAAGGACCTACTACGTTAATTAAAAAGAAAGCTAATAAAAAAGCAATAACTTAACAAAAAGGTTACTTAAAACGTTATTAAAGTCTATAATAAAAATAATAATAAAAAATATAATAAAGTTAATAATAAATCCTTAAGTAATATATTACTTTTTCTTAAAGATTTATTTAATTAATAAATACTAATATACTTTTATACTATTTAAACTTTAAAGCTTACTTATTGCTTTATAAAAAAGCTTTTTAATTTATATTATAACAAAAACCTTAATACTAATAAAGCTACTATAAAAAAGCTAATCTTTAAAGATCTTATAATATAAATTAATATTAAAAGCTAATTTATTAATTTTATAACTAATAAGTAAATAAAAAATAAATATAATAATAAAAAAAAGAGGTTTTTTATCTAAACGTTTATTACTTATAAGTTAAATAATATATTTAATAAAAATAATAAAAAGGTCTTTTATAATAATAAAATAAAAAAGAACTTTTTAATTATTTACCTAAAATATAAATAGGTTTTTAAAAAAGGGTTAAGACTACTAGATCTATATAAAGAGATATAAGGTATAAACACTAAAAAAAGTAGTATTATATTATTAATTAATAAGATTATATATAGCTAAAAGACTAACTCTAAAATAAATAAGAATAAAAAAAATAACAAAAATAATAATAATAACTTAAAGAATATATAAGAAAGTTAATTTCTTTATATACTATTATAATTATTTATATTATTTCTTAATACTTCTATATTTTTATAAAACTAATAATCTAATAAATAATTCTAGTAATAATATATTTTTATTAGTAATAATAAGTTACTAAAAAAAAAACTTATTATTACTAAAGTTAATACTTATATTAGTAAATTAATATAAGAACTTAAAAATAAATACTTTAGTAATAAAAAAAAAATATTAAAGTTAAAGCTATAAAAAAAAAAAAAAAAAAAAAAGTAACTATTATAAAAAAAAACTAAAGTTAATAAAGTAATAAAAGACCTTATAAAGTTTAAAAAAGATCTTAATTATAATATTTATTTAATTATTTTAAACTAATTAATAATAATAATAAAAAACTAATAGTTTTAAAAATAAAATATTAGAATTTATTACTAAATAATAAGTTAAAGAAGATATATTATATAAAGGTTTATAAGCAAAAAGTTAAGTACTAGTAATAGGATCTTTTTATTTATAGTAATCTTTTATAGTAATCCTTAGTACTAGCCTACTTATAGAAATATCTCTTAAGTAGTATTCTTATTTCCTTCTATAGTATCTCCTTTAACTATCAGACTACAGTTCTCTTCCTGAAGCCTTATTAGACTTCAGTTCTCTTCCTAAAGCCTTTTACAGCACTGCTTAAGTACAAGCTTTTATATAATAATTAAGCTAGTTTTTTTTTTTCCTTTACTTAAACCAAAACTAGAACCAAATAGCTCTTATTTAAGAAACTAAAAGGACTTTGGAGGAGGTTAATAATAATACTAGTCTTTACTTATTAACTCTATAATAAGAAGAATAGACTTAATATAGTCTATATTCTTCTTTATAATAATAACTCTCTTAGTATAAATAGTAGCTAACTAAATAACTAAAAAGATATAAGTTAGTTATTATAGTAATTAATTATAGTAATTATATACCTTTAAATATAGCTATAAAATAAGTCTTAGTAGCTTTTTAAAGTATAAGAATAGTTACCTTTTAAAAGTAAAAGTTATTTTATTAAAAAACATTATATATAATCTTTTTATAAAGATATTAAAAGGATACTTTTACTATTAAAAAATTAATTAACTTCTAATACTTATAAATTTTATAAAAAATAATAACTAAAAATAAATTAATATTATAGTAATTACTTATAGTAATTAAATAAGTATTTACTATTAGCCTTCTAATATCTTTTCTTTAAAAAAATAGCTATAACCTTTTTAAGTATTTTTTTAATAGCCTTCTTAGCTAAAAGTTTCTTTACTAAGGCTTTAATAATAAAAGACTTTTTAACGCTATTCTTTTTTATAAAAAGCTTTTTAATACCCTTTTTTAAAAAACACTTATAAAAAACTTAAGCTATTAGTATTATAATAAATCTAAATAATTAATAATTTTTAAAAAAAATAAAATAAAAAAAAAATAACTTATAAAAATTATTATTATTATTATTATTATTATTAAAAAAAAAATTTAAAATTAAAAAAAAAAAAAATAAATAAAAAAATATAAATAAAAT